GTTAACGTGCTTGTTTTTCGCTGTCCAGTGGCAGCACAAGTGGGGCATTTGATTTGCGAACGTCACATGATCAGGTCTTGTTAGCGACACTAAAAAAGTACTTCCGGATCAAGGAATTTCAGAAATTTTCTAAATAAAAATCCCTCACGTAATAGAAAAGTGTCAATAATCATTAATGATATGAAAAATAATTGTCTAAACATTAACAATGATTCATATTTGTTAATATTTAATGACATTTGCATACATTGGGTTTTAAAACATGTTCCAAGGTCAAATAAAATGCCCCCAATGCGGATCACTGTATATAATAATAATAATAATAATAATAATAATAATAATAATAATAATGTCATTTAGCAGACGCTTTTATCCAAAGCGACTAACAGTCATGTGTGCATACATTTTTACGTATGGGTGGTCCCGGGGATCGAACCCACTACCCTGACGTTACAAGCGGCATGCTCTACCATTTGAGCTACAGAGGACCCTGGAATACATATAGGCTTAGAGCAAGAACTATTCTGGGTGCAGCAGTAAAATTATTGTAGGAAATACTCAGTAGGGTCTGTAGAATGTATATGATGCCATTTCCTGGGGCTCTGAATAATACGGAGTGTTGCTGGCATTTTAGTCCACCCATTCTATGTGCGCTTACTGCACTACAAAAAACCCGCTAACCAAACAACAGTGCAAGGCATGCTCACTGAATTAAAGGGCAACTACACAAAAAAATCAAAGTTTCTTCTATTTTTCCCAGACGTCAAAAGTCATCCCCTGATGTGGTTTAAGCATGGTTGTGAACACAGGAAATCACATTTTGTTGTTTTTCTATTAAAAAAGTGTGGGCAAAAAATTAAAAATAAACTATTTAAAAAAGGCCCTACCAACATTTTTTGCTGTGCATGACTGCACTTTAGAGTGTGTCATCCTGCAGCACAGAATATAATAACCTGCCCAGGGACTGCGGTTGAAAATTAGCCGGCTGGCTAAAACCGGCACTTTTACTGAAACGTTGATTAATGTGCACTGTCCCTGTAAAAATAAACTCAAACTCAAACTCAATTATGGGGAAAGTTAAGATCAGGTCCAATTTTGACTATGCAGCCAAGAGGGAAAGAGGTTGGGCCATCCTAGAAATGTTTTAGTTAAATAATTTAGCTGACACTTTTATCCAAAGTAACTTAAAGTCATGCATGAATACATTTTTACATATTGGGTGGTCCCGGGAATCAAACCCAATATCCTGCCGTTGCAATGCTCTACCAAGATGCATGACAGGGTTATAAATGCTTTGTGAAGCCTAAATTTAATATGATTTATAAGTCCTTTATTTAAAATCGGTACTTATGCCACCCTTTATAAAGCACAGTTAGTTTTGTCATATTTGACTGAACTAGGGTTTCCTCTAGGATTTTGCCTTTGCTTAGCTCCATTCTGTTTATTTTTTATCCTGAAAAAATCCCCAGTCCTTAACGATTACAAGCATACCCATAACATGATGCAGCCACCACTATGCTTGAAAATATGGAGAGTGGTACTCCGTAATGTATTGTATTGGATTTGCCCTAAACATAACACTTTGTAATTAGGACAAAACGTGAATTGCTTTGCCACATTTTTTGCAGTATTACTTTAGTGCCTTGTTGCAAACAGGATGCATGTTTTGGAATATTTTTCTTCTGTACAGGCTTTCTTTTCACTCCGTCAATTACGTTAGTATTGTGAAGTAACTACAATGTTGTTGATCCATCCTCAGTTCTCCTATCACAGCCATGAAACTGTTTTAAAGTCACCATGGTGAAATCCCTGAGCGGTTTCCTTCATCTTTGGCAACTGAGTTAGGAAGGACGTCTGTATTTTTGTAGTGACTGGGTGTATTGATACACCATCCAAAGTGCAATTAATAACTTCACCATGCTCAAAGGATATTCAATGTCTGCTTTTTACATTTCTGCCCATCTACCAATAGGTGCCCTTATTTGCGAGGCATTGGAAAACCTCCCTAGTCTTTGTGGTTGAATCAGTGTTTGAAATTCACTGCTTGACTGAGGGACCTTAGAGATAATTGTATGTGTGGGGTACAGAGATTATTTCAGCTTTTAATTGTAAAAATCATTATAAAAACATTATTCCACTTTGACATAATGGGGTATTGTGTATAGTCCAGTCACACAAAATCTCTATTTAATCCATTTTAAATTCAGGCTGTAACACAACTAAATGTGTAAAAAGTCAAGGGGTGTGAATAATATTTTACTTTCTGAAGGCACTGTATACAGTATGTGGCTATACATCTTCACTTCAAAATGCACATGTACAGTGTGTACTTATAGTATTTGAACCCAGGTCTGAAATACAGTATGCTATACTCACCATCATAACATAAACAAGTTTAACCGGAAAGATGTAGTGGAATACAGAAACGGTATAATTGATAAAGAATTCTAGTAGTACTATACCTTGAAGGTTGTCTCCCTTCGCTCTCTTTCCTACACTACATGACCAAAAGTATGTGGGCACCTGCTTGTCGAACATCTCATTCCAAAATCATGGGCATTAATATGGAGTTGGTCCCCCCCTTTGCTGCTATAACAGGTAGCTTAGTGGTTAAGAGCGTTGTGCCAGTAACCAAAAGGTCGCTGGTTCTAATCCCCGAGCCGACTAGGTGAAAAATCTGTCGATGTGCCCTTGAGCAAGGCACTTAACCCTAATTGCTCCTGTAAGTCGCTCTGGATAAGAGCGTTTGCTAAATGACAAAAAAAATAAAAATAAAAATAAAATTCTGGGAAGGCTTTCCACTAGATGTTGGAACACTGCTGTGGGGACTTGCTTCCATTCAGCCACAAGAGCATTAGTGAGGTCAGGCACTGATGTTGGGCGATTAGGCCTGGCTCACAGTCAGTGTTCCAATTCATCCCAAAGGTGTTCGAGGGGGTTATGGTCAGAGCAGTTCTTCCACACCGATCTCGACAAACCATTTCTGTATGGACCTCGCTTTGTGCACGGGGGCATTATCATGCTGAAACAGGAAAGGGCCTTCCCCAAACTGTTGCCACAAAGTTGGAAGCACAGAATAGTCTAGAATGCCATTGTATGCTGTAGCGTTAAGATTTCCCTTCACTGGAACTAAGGGTCCTAGGCCGAACTGTGAAAAACAGCCCCAGACCATTATTCCTCCTCCAAACTTTACAGTTGGCACTACGCATTGGGGCAGGTAGCGTTGTCCTGGTATCCGCCAAACCCAGATTCGTCCATCGGACTGCCAGATGGTGAAGCGTGATTCATCACTCCAGAGAACGCGTTTCCACTGCTCCAGAGTCCAATGGCGGCGAGCTTTACACCATGCCAGCCGACGCTTGGCATTGCGCATGGTGATCTTAGGCTTGTGTGCGTCTGCTCGGCCATGGAAACCCATTTCATGAAGCTCTCAACAAACAGTTATTTTGCCGATGTTACTTCCAGAGGTAGTTTGGAACTCGGTAGTGAGTGTTGCAACCGAGAACAGACAATTATTACGCGCTTCAGCACTCTGCAGTCCCGTTCTGTGAGCTTGTGTGGCCTACCACTTCGCGGCTGAGTCGTTGTTGCTCCTAGACGTTTCCACTTCACAATAACAGCACTAACAGTTGACTGGGGCAGCTCTAGCAGGGTAGAAATTTGGCGAACTGACTTGTTGGAAAGGTGGCATCCTATGATGATGCCCCATTGAAAGTCACTGAGCTCTTCAGTAAGGCCATTCTACTGCCAATGTTTGTCTTTGGAGATTGCATGGCTGTCTGCTCAATTTCATTCACCTGTCAGCAACAGGTGTGGCTGAAATAGCCGAATCCCATAATTTGAAGGGGTGTCCACATACTTTCTATATATAGCGTGTGTTACAATGAGTGCTAAAAAAAAGAACCCCACCAACACTCGCACTTAACTTCTTCTACCAGCAGACTTTGCTGATAACTGCTTTGAGGAAAACTTGACTTACCAAGACTGAGAAATGTGGTCGTCTTACCTAACCATATTAAGATGAAGAAGAGCATCAGCTAAATGACGTAAATGTAAAATGTAATGCTCATCCCCACTGAGGTCAAGGACAGGTGAAAATCTGCAAATAAGTACCACCAGTTACACCAAACCGGTTATCTACCCCTCCTCCTTGCCTATGAAGCTTATTGTGGCCTTATGTCTCAAAGGGGACGACGACTAACTAACTAACTACGGGTTAACTAAGGACAGATTAACTAAAGATTAAAGGAAGTTGCCTTTCTTTTACACACTTTAGATTATACTTTTTTGGTCACATTTTTTGTTTTCCTCATACCACCTGTCAATTGTAATCGTTGTTGTACTAACTGGTTCGGTTAGGTGGCAAAGAATATAGCCAGCCAACTTGGAAGTGAACCATGTAGCACAAAGAACGGTTTATCAATTTCATAGTAATTAATAGGTAGCATTGATAGTGACATTTTAATTAACGAAATGGACAAAAATAGTTCCTTTTAATTTTATTACCCAAACAAAGAAAATCTGGATTTTTGAATTAATAATACAACAGTCTACCTATCCAGTATGAACAAAAAGAGAAAGGAGGAGAGAGGGAGGGAAGGAGGGAGGGAGAGAGAGAAAGAGAGTGCGACAGTGTGGGATTTGTGAGTGTGTCTGTGTGTCTGTCTGTACAAACCCCCATAGCAAATAGGAATTGGAAAACGGATTCAAAACTGAATATTAATATCTGCCCCCAAAAGATTAACATAAATCTTTCAACAAATAAACTACGTCCAAGAAGATAAAGAACGAGGGAATAAATGGATTGTGACAGAGCGATGGGGAAGGAGGAAAGGAAAGGGAGTAGTCTTAGTTTTCACAAAGTCTTATAAAACGCTTGGCAGACGATACTGTATCTCATCTTAAGTCATCACTGCTTACTATATCTATTAGTTTAGAAACAATTTACCGGAAAACCAATAGTTTGCAATAAAAAAACCTTTCAACACACACATACATACCTGGCCCCTGAAAACAGGGGAGTGAGTTGCCAAAGGAAAGGGAGGAGGAAGGAAGGAATAGAACAGAATAAAAAAGATGGATGGAGTTTGTCGGTTGCCAGGTATGATATGCCCATTTAATCAAGACACTCAATGCCTAATACAAACGCATGGGGGTGCTACCTCTATATACACATTGTATAGTGTGTGTTTCTGTGTGTGTATGTATTTCTGTGTGTGTGTGTGTATTTATGTTTGAGAGAAAATGAAGAGGAGTGACAGAGCGAAGATGAACGGTAGGAGAGGGTGATCGAATTGACAATGTTTTGGCAGTGTGTGTGTGTGTGAGACTGTCTGATGGTGGTGATGGTATCATTCAGTGGCGCCGTTTCTTCTTGCTGCTGGGGGGCGGGGCTGACGAGCGGCCCTTCCTCTTCCTATTGGCCGACGAGGTCTCCTCCGCGTCCTCATAGTGAGACTCTTTGTCCGCTGAGGGAGAGGAGAGGGGAAGAGGGAGATGACGTGTCAATATCAAACAATTTGCAACCGATTTCACAGCCCCTTTTTATTATGTGAAGAGTGTCAATAACAAACATATAAAAGGTAAAAAGTGTCATAGGTCGTTGAATGAATTATTCCCAATTCACATCGGATAACAAAGTATTATTTCCCAGTGTTTCTCAGCCTTTTCTATACCAGGGACCAGCAAGAGATGGTGTCTCTTGCTTCAGGGATGGTAAGCTATGATTCTTCTCCTTGGGGGACTGCTTACATTCAAATGGGCATGTAGTAATGTAGACTCACCTTTCCTGGCCTCCTCTTCCAACTCGTCCCAGTCTTTACCACTCTCCTCTTCACTACCCAGCGATGCACTGTAGTCTGAAATATACACACACACACACAGTACTAAGTCTCTGTATGTGTATGTGTTCTGTGCGTGTCAGACAGTAAGTCAATGTAAGTGATGTGTGTGCGTGTGTCAGTAAACGTCTGTGTGTGCGCGCGCGTCTCAACATGATGCGTTACCATTACCAGAGTCCTCGCTCTCTGAGTCATAATCTTCATCGCTGTCTTCCTCCTCTGCCTCACTCTCGTCTGCCGAGGGGTTGAAGGTCTCATCTTCCCCCGACTCAGAGTCATCCTCCGCTCCCTCCCCCTGAAAGAGAGAGACGGATGAAGAAAGAGACGTTTGTCAAACGTCTTCATTTTAACACTGAATGTTTTCTGTCTTGCATTAATAGCTCTAATCACACACACGCCCACATGCTCCGCTCACACCAGTGTTAATTACGTCAACAATAACTATGACAAAAAATACTCGCCAACAACCTATTTTCCCTGATGAAAACTAATGACAATAACAAGATGAGATGCCCTGAAAACCCTCCGCATTATTACCAATTACTTTTCATTTTAAACATGAAAATGTAACGAGAATTCCATGGACATTTAATTTGACATGAAGCTCCTGTTTTGTCCAATCAGAAGCATGCATCATCCCTTTGTAGAATATATAATGCAATCCTCTCATTGGCCGATAACGTCTTTCTGTTGAGTGGGCTGATTGAGAGTTGACCTGGCTCTCTCACACACACTGCTCCCGGTCACTTCAATCACTCGTCTCGGGCTCTCTTTTTAACTGATGCGCAATTGTAACAAACTAACCTCAATTAGAAACAATCATGTCTATTAAAAGTATTTGCTTTCATAGAGGCCATTTTTGCTCTGATCACATCAGAAGCTCCATGTTGCTATGTGCGCTGTTATTCACGTGTGTTGCGGTTGCTTTTTTCCGATTGGAAAAACAAATGCATTTTGCTGAATAAAGTACAGTAATACTTCAGGCATTGTTGGAAAGCGCATATTCTCCCCTTTCAAGGAAATCACTGTTATTTACCCCCCTCCTGCGGTTCTGATGGAGAGAAAATCAGAGCTAAATTGTTTAACCTATAGGCTTTATATCCTACATGGTTAATTCTGGCTGGCATTGGTTACAATTTTGCCAGCTAAGGTATATGAGGCGATAATGGGCCTAGTTGGACAAGGCTATTTGAATGTGCACATGATGCAAGTAAGAGGTAAATATTAATTATTGAATGGAAAAGTTGCACTGACTAAAATGTGACTAAAACTAGACCAGAATTGTCCAGAGTTTTTGTCGCCTGATCACTAAAACTAATTAAGGATGAAATTACTAAAATGTGACTATTAAGACCAAAATATATTTTAAGACTAAAATATGTGTCAAAATTAACACTGGCTCGCTCACACACACCCCTCACCTCGCTCTCCGGGTCTAAGAAGGACCAGCCCCCCTGTTCAAAGAAGCCCTCTGGATCGTCCACTATAGTCTTCATGATTTTAGTCCAGTTCAGAGACTGGACCCCCTCTGTGTACTTGATATCACAGGAACTGGAGGAGAGAGAAAGGGTGGTGGGTTGGGGGGGGGGGGGGGGTAAAAACAGTTGGTATGGTAAACCTCTGCTAAAACACAAACATCAATTGAAAATCGAATTCCTTTCCTGAGAAACTAAACCATTCTAATATGTCCATAAAGAGATCGATTGATTTATGACATTTAGCTGAAACTTTAATCCAGAGCGTCTTACTGATGTGCTTACATTTTCGTATTGGTGACCCAAGCGGGAATCAAACCCACGGCTCTAGCATTGCGAGTGCCACACTACCAACTAAGCCACACAGAACCACTTGACTTACTTGAGCCACTCCTTGATGGGGTCAAGTGAGTTGACGGGCACTGCGTTGATCATGGTAACCTTCTTGCTGTAGTCCTTGTAGACGATCACCACGTCAAAGTTCTTCAGGTGGAACTGAACACGCTCAAAATGAACCAGCTCGACCTCATCCAGAGTCACCACGAACGGAGGCTGGAGACGGAAAGGAGGAAAACAGGAGGAAAAGAGAGCAGAATATATACTGCTGAATGCATGTCTCTTTTAGTCTGAACTTTAACTTACTAAGGATTTTATTAAATCTGTAGTAAAATATCTGCCTTTAGGCCTAGCTTTGTTTAAAACACATGGTGGAGAATGCAAGCAGTATTGCGGACTATATCAGTAAGGGTGAAGAAGTAGTATTCATATGTACTGTAGTAGTAGTAATAATATTAATATGTGCTGTAGTAGTAGTAGTAGTAGTAGTATTCATATGTGCTGTAGTATTAGTAGTAGTATTCATATGTGCTGTAGTATTAGTAGTAGTAATAGTCACTCACCCACTCAGTGGTGTTACACAGGGAGCTGGAGGTGGGCTGCAGTAGGCAGGTACTCCTGTAGGGGGCGCCCTGGAACCTGAACACACACACAAGCATTCAGTAATGTCCTCAACAAGTCTGATATTCTTCAAACTTGAACATTGTTTTATACTGTTTATTACTTGAACACCCAACTCTGTGCTTCCCACCCCTAAAGCTAGAATCCTCAATTGAAACAATAACAAAGCGGTCACTCCGCCTCTGTTTTGGTAAAAAGCTGAGGGATGGGCCTGGAGAAATGTAAACACTAGTGCTGAGATATTAACAAACATTTCGGTTTATTTGGGGTTTTTAAATAACTAATTGACCGACATCGGTTCAAGTATTTGAATTCCATTTAGTTCAGTATAGTTTTCTGAGCTCAACACGCTGTTTCTCTAGAGAGATTTCTCTCTGGGACATGTCATCCAACTCATCATAGTTAAGTGCAGGAAATGTGGTAATTAACTACAATGACCAGAATCCATTGCGCCTACAGCTGCCTGTCCTCATTGGTTCTTGCCCAGGCAAGCCTGTGGGGCCAGCAGGCAGACATGTAGAGTAACCACTCTCAAATTCATAAACAGAGCTAAATGATTGTTTTTACCATGTTTTGAGGCTATACAGTGTTTGTTTACATTGTTTACAAACACTGGAGTAAAACAAGCTTATATTTTGGGTTCTGATGGGGCATATACAAGTTACATTTTTCAAGAATCAATGGGTATATATCACCAAGTCCAAAAATGGATGTAGCAACAAAGAATTCTAGCTTTAACACACACACACCTACTCAAAGTGCCCTACCCTGCCAATATCCCTCTACTCCCCCAACTCTCCCTCTCTTTCTGCAACCCTCCCATCCCACCTCCATAATGATATTAATAAACGCCATTTAGCAGACGCTTTTATCCAAAGCGACTTACAGTAATGCTTGCATACATTTTACGTACATTTTCCTCCATCCCTCTCTTACCCATAGACTTCGTTAGACTACAGATCTTTGTATCTGGCCATTTATGGCGTCTGTGAAGGCATGGGCAGCGCCATTGAGGCTATCTCCATTTTGAAATAGTCATTTTCTTCTTCTATTCCTTCTATATGCGTTGATAAACAAACTGAAAGGGTGCATACCGCCACCTGGAGTGTGTTTGAACAGGTATAAAGCAAAGGTTGCCGATTTACTGCCACCTGCAGTTCATGGAATGTTTGCTCACAAGTACAATTCATTGGCTGACTCCAATAGGAAGTCACACCCAGTTGACTACTTTAAAATGGTGGAAGTCCTCAATGGCAATTTGTCCATGCAGAAATGAGTTATTTCCAAGTAGCGATCTCATCTATCGCTCTTACCCGAGGTCTCGGAAGGGCACTTCGAACTCCAGCTCCTCCTTGGTGAGGGTCTCCACCTTCTCGATGAAGTTCTTGAAGGCAGACTTGAGCTTGTGTCTCATCTCCCTCTCCATCTGCTCGGCATACAGGTCGTCGCGGTCGTGCATGTGCTGGTGCTTGCCCAGATCTGTGGTGATCTCACCCACCTCTGTGTAGAACTGCACATCCGTGTGACGCTTCTTACCAAACATGATGGCGTTCTGAAGGAGGACGAGGGGGATAAGTCAAAATGGACGCACAAACACAGACACACACCCCAAAATCAAGACCCCTCCAAGTGCCACAGGCGAAAGCATAGACCCAAATACCCACAGCTTGATTACAAATGCATACGAGGTCAGACATGTACTAAGCCTATGTTTATCACAACACACCAACACGGGTAGGTACCTTGAGGTGGAAGTGCAGTACAATGATCATTTCTCCGTCACAGGGCTGGAATAGGGAGTGTTTAATGTTGTTGTAGAGGATGTCCACTTTGTCCCCGCGGACGGACGTGAAGCGGAAACCTGGACAGACATACACATGTTATTTAACAGGTTCGTTGATTGATAATACATTCTTGTAGTCTTTACAGCAACAATCGGAACTGAAAAGAACCTCAACCAATTCCTCATTCTCCATCATGTTTCTTTCCCCTCTCTTCTTTCCTCCACTGCTCTCCTCTGCCCTAGGGTTCCAATTATACAGTGCGTTCGGAAAGTATTCAGACCTCTTGACTTTTTCCACATTTGAAATCCTCAATCTACACACAATACCCCATAATGACAGAGCGAAAACAGGCAAATGTGGATGTATTAAACATTTGCAAATGTATCAAAAATAAAAAACAGAAATACCTTATTTAGTAAGTACTCAGACCCTTTGCTATGAGACTTGAAATTGAGCTCAGGTGCATCCTGTTTCCATTGATCATCCTTGAGATGTTTCTATAACTTGATTGGAGTCCACCTGTGGTAAATTCAATTGATTGGACATGATTTGGAACGGCACACACCTGTCTATATAAGGTCCCTCAGTTGACAGTGCATGTCTGAGCAAAAACCAAGCCATGAGGTCGAAGGAATTGTCTGTAGAGCTCCGAGACAGGATTGTGTCGAGGGACAGATCTGGGGAAGGGTACCAAAAAATGTCTGCAGCATTGAAGGTCCGCAAGAATACATTGGAGTACATCCTAATCTCTCTCTGATTATTTGATTTCAGAACCATGGACAGCTACCGAGAGAAAACATCACTGACTGCAATGCAGCCCCACAGCAGAGGAAAGAGGCCACTCTAGGCGGGCCACGAAATGAAGAAATGCTGAAACTGATGTTCGACAATCAAATTCGATATGTAAATAAACGAAATTCGTTAAGGCTGGGTCATTGACAGAAAGCTTATTTTACACTGCTCCAGCGAAACGAGGCCCGCCATGCATTTATGAAAGCACTTGTTTCCAAAACTCAAATTCTCTCACTCTTTTTACAGTTCTACAGGAATATTAAATGATATGTTAAATAAAAGTGTTATTTTTATTGTAACAATTGTGGAGTTGTGCAATGTGTGATAACAGGTGTCATATTATTAGTAACTATTATAGGCAGCTGGCTAGAAAGTGACTGCAACATTGTAACTCTCCGATGCAGGGGTTAAAGTAAAATTTCCTTTTTGACCGGTAAGGGACCTCCTATATGTGCACGCGCGAACCAAAATGTTTTATGGGCCTAATCATAGACTTGCATACAGTGGCTTGCAAAAGTATTCACCCCCCCTTGTTGCCTTACAACCTGGAATTAAAATTGATTTTGGGGGGGGTTTGTATCATTTGATTTACAAAACATGCCTACCACTTTGAAGATGCAAAATAATTTTTGGGGTGAAACAAACAAGACAAACATTTTTTTAAATTGAGTGTGGATTACTATTCACCCCCTTTGATCTTTGCTCATTCTTCAAGGCAAAACTGCTCCAGCTCCTTCAAGTTGGATGGGTTCCGCTGGTGTACAGCAATCTTTAAGTCATACCACAGATTCTCAATTGGATTGAGGTCTGGGCTTTGACTAGGCCATTCCAAGACATTTAAAATGTTTCTCCTTAAACCACTCGAGTGTTGCTTTAGCAGTATGCTTAGGGTCATTGTCCTGCTGGAAGGTGAATCTCCGTCCCAGTCTCAAATCTCTGGAAGACAAACAGGTTTACCTCAAGAATTTCCCTGTATTTAGCGACATCCATCATTCCTTCAATTCTGACCAGTTTCCCAGTCCCTGCCGATGAAAAACATCCCCACAGCATGATGCTGCCACCACCATGCTTCACTGTGGGGATGGTTTTCCTGGGGTGATGAGAGGTGTTGGGTTTGCGCCAGACATACCGTTTTCCTTGATGGCCAAAAAGCTCAATTTTAGTCTCATCTGACCAGAGTACCTTCTTCTATATGTTTGGGGAGTCTCCCACATGCCTTTTGGCGAACACCAAACATGTTTGCTTATTTTCTTCTTTAAGCAATGGCTTTTTTCTGGCCACTCTTCCGTAAAGCCCAGCTCTGTGGAGTGTACAGCTTAAAGTGGTCCTATGGACAGATACTCCAATCTCCGCTGTGGAGCTTTGCAGCTCCTTCAGGGTTATCTTTGGTCTCTTTGTTGCCTCTGATTAATGCCCTCCTTGCCTGGTTCGTGAGTTTTGGTGGGCGGCCCTCTCTTGGCAGGTTTGTTGTGGTGCCATATTCTTTCAACGTTTTAATAATGGATTTAAATGGTGCTCTGTGGGATGTTCAAAGTTTCAGATTTTTTTTATAACCCAACTCTGATCTGTACTTCTCCACAACTTTGTCCCTGACCTGTTTGGACAGCTCCTTGGTCTTCATGGTGCCACTTGCTTGGTGGTGCCCCTTGCTTAGTGGTGTTGCAGACTCTGGGGCCTTTCAGAACAGGTGTATATATACTGAGATCATGTGACATTGATTGCACACAGGTGGACTTTATTTAACTAATTATGTGACTTCTGAAGGTAATTGGTTGCACTAGATCTTATTTAGAGGCTTCATAGCAAAGGGGATGAATACATATGCACGCCCCACTTTTCCGTTATTTATTTTTGAATAATTTTTTGAAACTAGTTATCGTTTTCATTTCACTTCACCAATTTGGACTATTTTGTCCATTACATGAAATCCAAATAAAAACCCATTTAAATTACAGGTTGTGATGCAACAAAATAGGAAAAACGCCAAGGGGAATGAATACTTTTGTAAGGCACTGTATAGAATTGGAGCCTATTTCTTCCTATTCCAAAACGTGGTAGGCCTACCTGTTTGACAAACACAATTATGCTATCCATAGATGTCGGTATAGCCAAATCCTCCAATACTGTCGCATGCACTCCTTAAATACCTCAGTGTCTGGGAAGGGCTTGGTGTGTTTGGGCTCGGATTGAGTGAGGGTATCCCATACCCTTTGTTAAAGAAAAGGGCTTTATATTTATATTTTGAAATAAATACATAAAAAGTATCCAGATTATATAAAGCATTCTATAACAATGCTTAACTCCATGATGCCTTATGGTAGAAACAAGCTTTAAAATGCACGTGAAAGATTCCTATCTATGACATTCTGAAGCTGAGCTGCAGCCTATAATATTCAAGGAGACAAACTAATTTACTTTGCTATTCTGTCCCTATTAATTGAGCTTTTCACTTTCTGAAAAGAGAAGATGTTTGTTTAAACCCAGATATCTTTTAGGGAAGCACTTCTGTTGTTGGGTTATGCAAAATAGCCAGCAGTTGAAGCTTACATTTTTCTGCTTCGGTAGAGCGTCTGTCTGGGTGGAAAGGTAACTTTTGAAAGTGCCATGCTTTGATTCATAAGGATGGCTAAGATTTAATTATTTGCAAACAAGACACTGGTTTGACATTGGAGAAATATGGCAAGAAGGTCTATTTCTCTGTCCATTCTTCCCTGAAACTTCTATTTCATTATCCACCATTCTTTTGAGACTTTTTCAGCCCAACATTTTCTTTTGATTGCAAGATGTTTTTCCCCAATCAACGCACACAGAACTATAAAAAAACGAATTTAATAGAGACATTGGTGATTTTATCAATTAAATCAGATAGAAAATATTAGGCTATGTTATTGACATTGTCCTGATTATATAGCCTTCTAACCAGATGTGTAACTTTTTCCTTTTTTATTTGTAGCATAGGCATATGGATTGGGCTGCTATTATGTTCTGTTCCTCCGATTTTTAGCGGATAAAAAAATTGGCCCAAGGCCAAACCTATTGTGGACACCTGCTGTACATAGTTTAGCTGGGATAGGAGGGGGGCAACCGTTTTTTTGTCTTGCCTAGGGCTGCAGACCGTCCAGGGCTGGCCCTGCCCGCACTCAACTATCACTCAAGGCATCATTCGTTTGTGGTACAAGAGCAAGAAGTAGAATGATAATGAGTGCAATTACGTATCACATAGTGAAAGACATGGAACCAATTCAAACTGTGGAGAAAGACTGTTTCAGAAAGTTGATTCGAACTCTAGACCCAAGATACGAGATCCCGAGCCGTAAATCCTTCAGCAAAACATGTCTGCCAGAACTCTACACAGAATGTCGGGACAGAGTTGCCAACGAAATCCGTAACGCTGCATTCTTCTCCACCACTGCCGACTTATGGTCAAGCCGGACCACAGAGCCATACATTAGCCTCCCGATTCATTACATTGACGACAACTGGAAGCTGCAAAGCAAATGCCTTCAGACCTCTTATTTCCCAGACGACCACACCAGATAAATAATTGCAGCTGGGCTGAGGGAGCCACTTTCATCCTGGGGCTTGAAAGAGTCGCGTCAAGTATGTATGACTACCGACAGCGGATCGAACATGGTCAAAGCATTGGAGCTGAACAAATGGACAAGACTAGGGTGTTTCGGACATAGGCTACACATTGCTATTGGTAAGTTCCAACGTCCAAAACAAATAGAGCTTGGTAGAAAAATAACATAACTTAAAACAACTTAAAATGCAGAATAACTATTGTATTCCTTATCTCCTGTTTAAAGTTATAGCTGACTACACTGCCTGATCATTCTTATACGTTAAGCCGAATATATACAGCTATGCAAATCTATAATATTTGTAAATTTGTGCAATATCCAAACATTATATGGATTACATTGCTTTGATTTATAATTGATACATTAGCCTATGGTTTCAATATATGAATCTATCCTCTCTCTTCCAATAATAAATAGCCTACTCAATAAATGATCCCGTTTTCTAAAGCAACACAGCTCTCTTAATCACAACAGTTGTATGTAAATCTATAGATGGATTTAATTTGTAATCATGTCCAGTGTCCATGCTGTAAATTGTTGTAATTTCAGCAGATGCAATGTTATTTCTATTGAATAATTGTGATTCATATGTTAATTATTTTTCACCTTTTTATTTTTCAGAGAAGAGAGTCCAAAACGAACCTCGGGTTTCCCGGGCCATAGGAGTGTGCAAGAAAGTGGTCAGCACACTTTCCTATAGTTGGAAGAAGCAGAAGGCCCTGACAAGTGCACAGGATAAACTGAGCCTGCCCCTCCACAAGCTCATCATGGAATCCCTGACAAGGTGGGGATCTCGACTGCAGATGATGGAAAGAGTCCTGGAGCAGGAAAAGGCCATCACACAAGTCCTGGCAGCAGACAGAAAAACATGGCACCTTGCACTCTCCTGGCAAGACGCTGATGAGCTGCTCACCATGGCTACCTTTCTGGACCCAAGGTTCAAGACCACCTACATGACCACTAAGAAGCTGGTGGAGGTGAAGGTGAGAGTTGCCTCCATGACAGAAGCCCTCCTGGTAGGGAACACAGCCATGGGAGACTTCTCTCTTGAAGAGGGCCAGAGTGAGGGAGAGCAAGAAGCTGCCACTGCTCCACAATCAGCAACGAAGTCCAAGAAGAGCCTTGGGAGCATCTTTAAGAAAACCAGTAGTGCACCTGCCTTAAGAACCCAGAGACAGGTCATCGAGCAAGAGCTGGACAGCTACACTCTGAGGATGGCAGCAGACAGTGAGGCTGATCCTTTGGAGTGGTGGCGAGTTCACGCATCCAACTTCCCACAAGTGAGTTGTCTGACAAATAAATACTTATGCATCCCTGCCACAAGTTCGCCCTCTGAGAGAGCATTTAGCACTGAGGGCAATGTGGTCACATGCCACAGGGCAACTTGGAAGCCAGAAACGGTCAATAGGCTGGTGTTCCTGGCACGGAACTTGTGAAGACGGAAGCAGTGAATTGTTACATGGTGAACTGACAAACATACAGACTGTCTGGTTAATGCTTGAAGAAGTTAGTTTGAAAAGGTTTCAACTTGAATTCATAATGACCAGTGCAGCAACACTCCCTATCCAATCTGACAGAGTTTAAGAGGATCTGCAGAGAGGAATGGGACAAACTCCCCAAATACAGGTGTGCCAAGCTTGTAGCGTCATACACAAGAAGACTCAAGGCTGTAATCGCTGCCAAAGGTGCTTCAACAAAGTACTGAGTAAAGGGCCTGAATACTTACAGTACTAGTCAAAAGTTTGGATACACTACATCACTTATTTTTACTATTTTCTACATTGTAGAATAATAGTGAAGAGATCAAAACTATGAAATAACACATATGGAATCATGTAGTAACAAAATAAAGTGTTAAGAAAATCAAAATAGATTTTATTTTAGATTCTTCAAAGTAGCCACCCTTTGCCTTGATGACAGCTTTCCACACTCTTGGCATTCTCTCAACCAGATTCATGAGGTAGTCACCTGGAATGCATTTCAATTAACAGATGTGCCTTGTTAAAAGTTAATTTGTGGAATTTATTTCCTCCTTAATGCGTTTGAGCCAATCAGTTGTGCTGTGACAAGGTAGGGGGGGTAATATGGACCAAGTCCATATTATGTAAAGAACAGCTCAAAATATTCAAAGAGAAACGACAGTCCATCATTACTTTAAGACATGAAGGTCAGCCAATCCGGAAAATGTGAAAAACGTTGAATGTTTCTTCAAGTGCATTCGCAAAAACTAATCAAGCGCTATGATGAAACTGGCTCTCATGAGGACAGCCACCGGAAAGGAAGACCCAGAGTTTCCTCTGCTGCAGAGGATAAGTTCATCAGAGTTACCAGCCTCAGAAATCGCAGGCCAAATAAGTGCTTCACAGAGTTCAAGTAACAGACACATCTCAACATCAACTGTTCAAAGGAGTCTGTGTGAATCAGGCCTTCATGGTCGAATTGCTGAAAAGAAACCACTACTAAAGGACACCAATAAGAAGAAGAGACATGCTTGGGCCAAGAAACACAAGCAATGGACATTAGACCGGTGGAAATCAGTCCTTTGGTCTGGAGTCCAAATTTGAGATTTTTGGTTCCAACCGCTGTGTCTTTGTGAGACGCAGCGTAGGTGAACGGATGATCTCCGCATGTGTAGTTCCCACCGTGAAGCATGGAGGAGGAGGTGTGATGGTGCTTTGCTGGTGACACAGTCTGTGATTTATTCAGAATTCAAGGCACACTTAACCAGCATGGCTACCACAGCATTCTGCAGCGACACGCCATCCCATCTGGTTTGGGCTTAGTGGGACAATCATTTGTTTTTCAACAGGACAATGACCCAACACACCTCCAGGCTGTTTAAGGGCTATTTGACCAAGAAGAGGAGTGATGGAGTTTTGCATCAGATGACCTGGCCTCCACAATCCCCCGACCTCAACCCAATTGAGATGGTTTGGGTTGAGTTTGACCGCAGAGTGAAGGAAAAGCAGCCAACAAGTGCTCAGCATATGTGGGAACTCCTTTAAGACTGCTGGAAAAGCATTCCAGGTGAAGCTGCTTGAGAATGCCAAGAGTATGCAAAGCTGTCATCAAGGCAAAGGGTGGCTACTTTGAAGAATCTCAAATATAAAATATATTTAGATTTGTTTAACACTTTTTTGGTTACTACAAGATTCCATATGTGGTATTTCATAGTTTTGATGTCATCACTATTATTCTACAATGTAGAAAATAATATAAATAAAGAAAAACCCTTGAATGAGTAGGTGTGTCCAAACTTTTGACTGGTACTGTATGTAAATGTGAAACCTGTTTTTGCTTTGTCATTATGGGGTATTGTGTGTAGATTAATGAGGAAAAAAATAAACATGTAATCAATTTTAGAATAAGGCTGTAACATAACAAAATGTGGAAAAGGTCAAGTGGTCTGAATACTTTCCCGAATGCACTGTAAATAGACTCTTGCCCAAAGTCTCTTGGCAGGACTCACAATTACATTGTAATTTCAACTCAGCTCCATCCCCCCCCCTCTCCTCACCATTGGTATGGGCCTCCAGCGACCCCTGCATCCTCTTCTGGGCGATGTTGGGCCTGATGTAGAGGTCTTTGAGTTTGGGGTTGGAGCGGTTCAGGTTGATGACCAGCGAGTCCTGCTTGACGATGCCCTCCTTCTCCTTCTCCTCAGCCTCCCGGGTCTTGTAGCGCTTCTGCACCTCCTTGATGATGCGGAAGGCATTCTGGAGGTTGGTGGACGGGACCGTTGGGTCGCCCGGCGCCTTGAGGTTCGACGCCCGGTACGTACTGGGGGGGGGGGGGGGGGGGGGGTTTGAGAGAGAAAGAGAGAGAGCAAAATGGTCAGATAAAGCAGCAGTTGGACACAAAGATGAATACATCACACACACACACCTACCCGACCACCTGCTTTATATTTGACAACAGTGAAACCTACAGGCAAATGGGCGCACACACGCACGTTTAATTTCCCCTTACATTTCTTTAACGAAGGTGGCATCAGGGTTGGGGAAGATGTTGCCCTCGTTGCGTCCCAGAGAGCTGCCGGGAACATAGAAGTTTATCCTCAGGTAGGTCCAGTCTCCTTCCACCGACGAACTGATGTTCTACACACACACACACACACGGATAGACAGAAACATGGTGAGAGGGACACAGAAATGCCAAGTTTTTCCTCAGATACACTACCAGTCAAAACTTTAGACACACCTACTCATTCAAGGGTTTTTCTTTATTTTTACTATTTTTTATATTGTAGAATAATAGTGAAGACATCAAAACTATGAAATAACACATATGGAATCATGTAGTAACCAAAAAGGTGTTAAACAAATAAAAATATATTTTATATTTGAGATTCTCCAAATAGCCACCCTTTGCCTTGATGACAGCTTTGCACACCCTTGGTATTCTCTCAACCAGCTTCATGAGGTAGTCACCTGGAATACATTTCAATTAACAGTTGTGCCTTCTTAAAAGTTAATTTGTGGAATTTCTTTCCTTAATGCGTTTGAGCCAATCAGTTGTGTTGTAAGAAGGTAGGGGGGGTATACAGAAGATAGCCCTATTTGGTAAAAGACCAAGTCCATATTATGGCAAGAACAGCTCAAATAATCAAAGAGAAACGACAGTCCATCATTACTGTAAGACATGAAGATCAGTCAATCCGGAACATTTCAAGAAGTCACAGACCCATCTCAACATCAACTGTTCAGAGGGGACTGTGTGAATCAGGCCTTCATGGTCGAATTGCTGCAAAGAAACCACTACTAAAGGACACCAATAAGAAGAAGAGACCTGCTTGGGCCAAGAAACACGAGCAATGGACATTAGACCAGTGGACATTTGTCCTTTGGTCTGGAGTCCAAATTGGAGATTTTTGGTTCCAACCGCTGTGTCTTTGTGAGACGCGATCTCTGCATGTGTAGTTCCCACCGTAAAGCATGGAGGAGATGTTATGGTGTGGGGGTGCTTTGACTGTCTGTGATTTATTTAGAATTCAAGGCACACTTAACCAGCATGGCTACCGCAGCATTTTGCAGCGATACGCCATCTCATCTGGTTTGGGCTTAGTGGGACTACCATTTGTTTTTCAACAGGACAATGACCCAACACACCTCCAGGCTGTGTAAGGGCTATTTGACCAAGAAGGAGAGTGATGGAGTGCTGCATCAGATGACCTGGCCTCCACAATCCCTCAACCTCAACCCAATTGTGATGGTTTGGGATGAGTCTGACGGCAGAGTGAAGGAAAAGCAGCCAACAAGTGCTCAGCATATGCGGGAACTCCTTCAAGACTGTTGGAAAAGCATTCCAGGTGAAGCTAGTTGAGAGAATGCCAAGCGTGTGCAAAGCTGTCATCAAGGCAAAGGGTGGCTATTTGAAGAATCTCAAATTTAAAATACATATTGATTTGTTTAACACTTTTTTGGTTACTACCTGATTCCATATGTGTTATTTCATAGTTTTAATATCTTCACTATTATTCTACAATGCAAATTCGGTCGAATTGTGCGATTGTGTGTGAAAAGAGGTCACAGAAATCCAAATATACATTTTGTGAATGGGTTAGTGTACGATACTGTGTGTGTGTGTGTGTGTGTGTGTGTGTGTGTGTGTGTCAGGTACCTTGATGGTAGCGATATGGAAAGGGGTGGCGATGCCGAAGACAGGCATGACGACCGTCTCGTATTTCTTATCGATGAAGATCTTCATGTCTCGAATGTCTTTCTCTCGAGGCATCTGAGAGCCGTTCTTGTAGGAGACATTGGACTTTCTGGACCTAGAGGATGAAGACACAGAGAAATACTTCAATAATCATTCAATTAATTGGTACAGGCAGACATTTTTGGAAAGTGCATTTACATAAACATAGGGAGAAAGTGATATCATTGATTATTGAATAATGTAAATCATTAATAAAAAATGCTTTTAGACAGCTGAAGCACGCACACAGATTTTCTTCAGAAAAGGTGTAGTTTCCAGTTTTCTACAATAGGCCATTTAGACATCATAATAATAATAATAATAATAATAATAAGCCATTTAGCAGACGCTTTTATCCAAAGCGACTTACAGTTATGCGTGCATACATTTTTACGTATGGGTGGTCCCGGGGATCAAACCCACTACCCTGGCGTTACAAGCGCCATGCTCTACCAATTGAGCTACAGAGGACCACCAGAGGACATAATACTATATATATCCTCATAACATAATTCCCATCCCCATTCTTCCATCTCTCCCCAATTATGCACATTATACAACCTCTCCTCATCCACTCCTTTATGAACTCTAACCAGCATCCTCCCATCTCCCTCCTTCCAAACATCATTCCATCACCTCCACTACTCCTCCTTCCACTCCTCTTTTTCCTCGTTCACTCACTTCTGGACCTGTTGCTCTCCTTTCTGTTCCGTCAGACGTCGCTTGGCCTCCTCGTTCACCTGATTTGCCAGCTCCTTCTGGTGAGCCCGCCTCTTCTCCTCTGCCGTCATCTCGTTCTGACCAATCAAATAACAGTGTTCCTCACAGTCTGACCAATCAAACAACAGCGTTTATCTCATACACACAGATAGTTTAAGTATAGTGAATTTCTCTCAAGAACACACAGACACAGCCTCCCGAGTGGCGCAGTGGTCTAAGGCTCTGCATTGCTGTGCCACTAGAGATCCTGGTTCGAGTCCAGGCTCTGTCGTAGCTGGCCGCGACCGGGAGACCCATGGGGCAACGCACACTTGGCCCAGCGCCGTCCAGGGTAGGGGAGGGTTTGGCAGGCAGGGATGTTCTTGTCCCATCGTGCACTAGCGACTTCTGTGGCGGTCCGGGCGCAGTGCATGCTGACTCGGTCGCCAGGTGTACGGTGTTTCCTCCGACACATTGGTGCGGCTGGCTTCCGGGTTAAGCGGGCACTGTGTCAAGAAGCAGTGCGGCTTGGTTGGGTTGTGTTTCGGAGGACGCACGACTCTCGACCGTCGCCTCTCCCGTGTCCGTACGGGAGTTGCAGCGATGGGACAAGACTAACTACCAATTGGATACCACGAAATTGGGGAGAAAAAGGGGGCTAAAATAGAAATAGGATTTTTATATATATATTTTAGCACGAACACGCACTCACCCTAGTCCTGTCCTGAAGTAAAGCTTGTCCACGCGCTCCCTTCCCCAGTAACTCCTCTGCATCGTCTGCATCTTCCTCCTCATCATCTTCCTCATCGTTCTGACGAGAACAAACAAATATTATTATTTTTTTATTACAATTTCTATTTATTGAGGGACAGTGTGAAACAAGAATCCGAGAGAGACGGTGGTCACCTTTCATACCTTTAGGAAGATTCCAACGTTCTTTAACTTCTTCTTGACCGGCGTGAGAACTGTGGCTGGATCATCCTACAAGAGATGCACAGATACGCAGACATTTTAATGCACACACACTGAATGTTGAGTGTTTCTTTACAACTGTCAATGTGCTAATATCAGATATCAAAATTTATATTAACAGAACTATACGTTTGACTCGCTGTAAGACTTTGTAAAAATAAAATAAAGTGGGTGTGTACCGGTTTTACTATACTTATGAGTACCAAAAGTCCACACAAGAATAGTAAACCAAGGAAAACTATGACAAGTGAGGACATGTTGCCGGTCCTCACAAAAAAAAATGGCTATTTTAGGATTAGGGGTTAGGGATTGAGGTTTAGGGAAAATAGGATTTTGAATTGGAATCAATTGTTGGTCCACAAATAGTCCTTACAAGTATAGTAAAACAAACGTGTGTGCCCGCCCCCACTTTGTTGAGCTGTACAAAGTGTACAGGGCATAATTCTGTTCATTTTCCCTCTCATTCGTCCATCCCATCCCTCCCTTATCCCCCTCTCCTACCTCGATCTTCACCAAGTCTCCTATGACCAGGGCGTATTTAATCTGTTCCCCCCCATCCCTCCCTCCCTCCTACCTCGTTGATCTGTACAGAGTCTCCTATGAACAGGGCGTATTTCTTCTGCTCCTCCTTCTTCCCCTCCTTATTCACCAGGTCAGCGAAACCCAGGCTGATGCTCAGTACCATACCTGAAACACACACACGCAACACACAGTTATGAAAGCGTCCGCTCTACACACTACTTAAAATTGCCTTTGTCTAAGACACACTGACAATACCATGTCTACGAAGTAACTGACAATACCATGTCTACGAAGTAACTGACAATACCATGTCTACGAAGTAACTGACAATACCATGTCTACGAAGTAACTGACAATACCATGTCTACAAAGTAACTGACAATACCATGTCTACAAAGTAACTGACAATACCATGTCTACAAAGTAACTGACAATACCATGTCTACAAAGTAACTGACAATACCATGTCTACAAAGTAACTGACAATACCATGTCTACAAAGTAACTGACAATACCATGTCTACTGACAATACCATGTCTACAAAGTAACTGACAATACCATGTCTACAAAGTAACTGACAATACCATGTCTACAAAGTAACTGACAATACCATGTCTACAAAGTAACTGACAATACCATGTCTACAAAGTAACTGACAAGACTCAGTAAGACAGTACAGGGACTTGAATTCTCACCTTTCTTCAGTTTGTACTGGTTCTTGCTGTTCAGGACCAGAGAGCCCTCTCTGAACTCTATCCCCATGGCAAACCTACAACAGGGAGAGAGAGGGGGCGCACAATAGTCAACATATGGGGAGCCTGTGTGAGAAGTTAAGAACGTGTGTTTGTGTGCATGTGTGTGAGAGAGAGAGAGAGACGGAGAGCGAGAGAGCGTGCGAGAAAGAACGTGCGTGTGTGTTGCATGTGTCTTACCCTAGGTTCTTGGTGAGTTTGGCTGCTAGCTCTGGTTTCTCCTTCTTAACGTAGTTCAGCACTGCATTGTACGCGTCACAGATCTTTACACCTATAAAGAACAAGGTAAGAATAAAGAAAAAGGTTCGGTTACGGCAACCATGTGTACTCTATCCCACAAACACACTCCCTCTCACCCCAACCCTCACTCCCTCCATCCCTCAAGGGGTTTGAGCAGCTCCAGCTGATGTCCTGCATCTCCCCCTCTCTTTCTCACTCACACACACAAACACTCTCCCGCCATCCTTCACTCACCATGTTTGAGCTCTTTGAGCAGCTCCTCCTCCACCTGTAGCAGGAAGCTGTAGTTATCCTGCATCTCCTGTGGCGGGTCCACCATCAGGGTCCGCACCAGGTTGGAGCAGTAGGACTTGTAGCGGATCCCCATGGCACATGTGATGGCCCCAAAGTGCATGTGGTTCTTGTCACTGTCACAGGGAGTTATAACAGATGGGTTTATAGAGGTTATAATGCTTTATAAAGGAGTCTGCTGTGACAGGTACTGTACAATTTGATACACAAGGAACTGTGTCTTTCTGGTCAAGAAAAGGGGATCAAATTAAAGATTGACGACTTTGCAGTCACAAGCCAGTTAAGCAGTAAACTGCCGATTGACCGTAGGAAAAAAGGCAACCCCGTGGAAACCGTCGTTCGCTATAGATATCGCCATGGAAACGGCTGTTACCTGACGACGCTGAACTTGAGGCTGTAGTTGCCCCCGCTCTGTATAATGGGGGGGTAGCACATCTCCACAGTGGAGGGGTCTGCTCCCCCAAGGTACTTCTTCTCCTCAATGGCCTTCTCCACAGACTCAGCCAGCTTACTGTGGCGCACCTTCTGTTTGGGCAGACAGATAGGGACACAATGTTAAGAAAGGAAAGGAATGGAATGGATTCAAAACTATTTGGACGTAAACCGTTAAGCTTACATCTATGTTTGCTGTATGATGTTCTTTCAGGCCAGTCTAGCCCGGTTCCAATACTTTGAAAATGCATCCTTTCTTCCTAACTTGAAAGATATCACTGATCTGACATGACTCGATTGGTGAAAGCCGGTGTTGGGTCAGTGATTTCTCCAAGGGAGAAAGGTAGGGAGAAAGGGAAGAAGAAAGGAAGGATTTTAAAAGTACTCAAACAGGACCTAGATCTTCTCTGTGTCCTTCCTTACCTCATCTGCGTCTACGATCTCCATGACCCTCTCCTTGAAGAACTTGGAGTAGACCTCGCTGGTGACGGCTGCAGCTTTCTTCATCAAAGCCAGCTCCCCATCCTCCTTCACAGCCATGGTGTAGGCCACTACCGCACTGATGTCCACCTGAAAAAGAGGGGGAGGAAGGAGTTAAACCAAATGAGGATCCACAAACCAATGAGTAGCTACTTGTACATTATACGCATACAAGCACATCACAGACATATCCCTGGGTTGGATTTTCAACCTGCTAACACACACACCCCATCTCACCTACAACATCCTTCCTTCCTCTCACCTTCTCCAGGCCCTCAGCAGTGATCATGTCATTCCAGCTCTTCATGTACTCTCCGGGGAACTTGTCCTTGCTGAACACACCTACAGTCTTGCCCTCCTTACTGGCCCTGATCGCCTCCATCATCTTCTCAAAGTTAGCCTTGTTGCTCTCATTCTGAGGGGAGGAGGGAGGGAGAGAGAGAGGTTTGAGTGTTACCAACTAGCTTAAACACATTCATGCGAGTGAGCATACGCACACACTCTCACACACACACGCTTTCCCCTCACGCAAAAACACAAACGCCCACACGCGCTCACAAACATGCGCTCACACAGTCTCTCTCTCACACAACTTTGCAATTACAAATGGCTATGAGACTTGAACAATCACACAGACTTGATGTCACACATTACAAAGGACAGGCATGTTGGGAAAAGATGCATCAACACTGAAAGCCAATCAGTGTTAGACCATCCCGAGTCTACCAAGCAGTGCTTACCTTTTCCCTGACGAGCAGTGTGATTGGTGGAACCCCGTTGGCGTTCTCGTTGCCCTTGGTGACTACCACCTGTTTAAGAAACTCCACCTTCTTCTTGCTGGCCAGGAAGATGATCTTAGACTCACAGAACACCATGATGGTGTCGGTTAGCTCATAGCCAAACAGCCATGTCTTGAGAAAAGAGGAGGAGGAGAGGACGAGCATACATGTTATTCTCTAAAACTGTTGCTTATGCTGGAGTAGGGCTGGGCGATATGGCCTAAAAATCATATATAGATTTTTTCAAACTTATGGGTGATTCACAATATATTTTTTTATGTTTCTCTAAATGAGCTTTGTTGTACAATTAAAGGTCAAATACACTGCATTTCAAACAGTCAGCAATAATCAAATAAACTGAGGACTTGGGAATATACCTAGGCTAAATATAAGCCTTCCACACCATAAGACCCACCAATAATGTTATTCTTTTATCAAAATCGTTTAACCAGCTATTTTTTTGCAATAATCAATGATTTGGCATTCAAGTCTGTCTATGAAAATGCCCTTTTTGTTCAAATTTAACCAGAACCATGCATAATGCACATTCACTAATAATGACTAACTTCTTATAGCAGGCATTTTAGAAAATTAACACAGGTCTCATAAACAGGTAGCCTAGAGGTTAAGACCGTTGGGCCAGTAACCGAAAGGTTGCTGACTCAAAACGCGGAGCCGACTAGGTGAAAAATCTGTCGATGTGCCCTTGAGCAAGGCACTTAACCCTAATTGCTCCTGTAAGTCGCTCTGGATAAGTGTGTCTGCTAAATGACTAAAATATTAAAATGTCAAATGTAAGCACAATCCCACATGCTAGTGAGTAGCCAGCTAATCTTTATATTTCAAGCTTAGCCAACTTGGATCTATTTGCTAGCTAACAAGGCAGAAGTGTTGAATTGTTATGAACACACCCTTCTGTCTGTCTCCAACTGTTTGAACAGCATGCTAGCCTGTCCACTTTGTTCAGATTAGGCTTGGGCGGTATACCGTATACCGGGGGTATTTGGAAATAGCCACCGGATGGTTTTTCAATACCGTTGAAACTATTTCTTTGAGTTTATTTTATAAAATGTGAATATTTGTTGCTACTTCTTAAGTAAATACCTGCAGTCAACTTGTGCAATATGTTAGGAGATAAAGAAAATCACATTCTTCATTTCACCTGTCACATAATTTTTCATTATGAAGCTTACCGGTAATCTCCAGTCACGTGGTGTTTGTTTACAAGCACACAACAACAAGAGACCGGAGCCTTGTGAGTCACTCACTGTTGTGTAGCACGTGCCATGTGATCTAGTTACAGTATGAAATTCACAAATAACTGCTTGCCAGCTAGATAGCTTATAACTATTACGTTAAATGTCTAAAATGTGCTAAATGCTCTGCAGTTGTGCATTTAGTTTGCTAATTTAGTAGCTAGTTAGCTATCTAGCTAAGTGGTTTGCTTCTTCCAAAATCAAGCGTCGCTTGGTAACAGCAGAGAATCCCCTACTAAATCAAGAGCCTTACTGTCTAATATTCGTTTTGTGCATGCAGCAAACTGTGAGTAGCATTACTTGTATAACTTTATGAGCTGGGATGTCTGTCCTGCAAACACTTTAGGTCAGATAATGCAGAAAATGTTCACATCGTTAGCATTTAGTTAGCATTCTCTATGGGATTTTACATGTACTTGTTAGCATTGCTAACCTTCGAATTACAAAGGCTCAGCGTGGGGTTAGAGAAGTGCTGAAGCGTGGGGTTAGAGATGCCACTTTGTAATAGAGAAGTTTAACTTCTCTATTACAGTAAAATTGTGTCTCAATGTGTTTCGGTGTCAATATGACCGATTCTGTTGGACTAAACCTCAAATGTAAATGTTGAGTTGAGAGCGCTTGTCAGAGAGGAAGAAGTCATCTCTCCATCTTTGTTGTTGTGAGTGGCAGGGGAGAGGCTTGGTGTGTGTGTGTAAACAGAGAGGAAGAGGCGAAGCGAGAGGTTTCACTCTGGCCAAAATCTGTCAAAAATAAGCCCTATGCATTAATGGGTTTATTTTGGACCTAAGCTTGTCGCCTGCCTTCCCGCCTTTGGGACAACGGCTCCCTTTGTTAGGGCGGAGACATGAGCATCTCATTATATACAGATATCTGGTGTAAATGGGAAGGTGCAAACAGCACAGAAGGAGTGAAGGAGATGAGACCAAAAAGACAACATGAGAACAAGAGTAAATAAACGCTAATTAAAACGAAAATATTGGCGCAAAAAACATAAATTACAATTAATCGAATTCTATATATTGCCCAGCCCTATGCTGGAGTGTAAACCAGCTATGTTTCTTCATTACAGAAGCCATAACACACACGTAAACGTGTGCGAGCACACGCACACACAGGATTTGAAGTCAGACAGATGTTATGTGCAACAAGTTATCAAGGAGACAGATTTTCCCGACCTGACCCAAATGACTCCAGGCCCCAGCTACAGCCTACAACTGGGGGTCCAGAGTTTTCCCTGATCAGCTCACACAGTCAGGAACAACTCCTGGATAGGGGTAAGGTCCATGAGTTTTACCTGCAGGGCAGTGGATTTGGCGTACACAATCTCCTCGTCCACCCCAACAGAGACCACCATGGCATCCACTTTGCCAAACTCATCTTCTCCTTTCTGTTAGAGAAAAATAACAAAATAGATACTTGTTGATTAATAATACAGGAATGTTTTACATAGTTCTAACTAAGTCAACTAATGAGCAAAAAGGTACAGCTAGCCACAGTTGTGAGTGTTGGTTGACAAGATGCTGGTTGTTCTTTTTGAGTGCAGGTGATAAGTATGGAAAAATTGCTAACAAGCTACAACCTAGCTAGCTAACCAGTTAAGAACAAGCTGAAGTTGCTAGCTATCTATTGCTATGGATATAGTACTATCTCAATGTAACTAGAAAGAAAGTTGCTAGTTAGCTATCTAGGTTGGCATTCAAATGCATGGGATGAGCTTAATCGTTGCATGACCCTCAAAATAATAAAGTGCACTGTGCATGTAACAGTGATTACTTGGCGCGATATAAAGCTAGCTATCACGCTAGCTTGAACATGTCCAGCTTTCTGATGTTGGATAGTTGCAGGGCCGGTGCCAGAACTAATCAGTTGGATGGGCATTGACATTTTTTTAATGGGTTTTATAGTAAAGGCATGTAATTTAATTGTAAAAATGTATTACGTTATAATGTGGCAAGAAAACAACCAGTCGTGATGTTGTCATCGGATTGTCAAACAAATCACTTCAAAAAGCAGGTTACCTTTGCACATTCGTCCAAAATAATTCCAGCATCCGAAGAGTAGCTGAAACTATCTCACCGGAGAAAGCACCCGAGAGAGCGAAACAGCGCCCCTCTGTTTTACTATTTGTAGCCCATGTATCTGATGCTGTCTGGTCAAAAAGAGTACGACATGCCACACTATTTTTGTCCAGACAGCATCAGGCTCCACATTCTGAGACAGAAGGGAGCTGTTTTGCTCGCTCAGATTAGGGAAATCGAATGAATTGGCTGCTGCACAGTCACTATGGGGGCTCTTTCTAGAGCGCCCGGATAAATTGTGCATGAGAGCATTTATTTATTTTTTATCTCTAAAATGGTTAAACTGGTGAGAAATGTGTGATTATTGAACAAATCTGGGAGTTTGCTTCATTTACTATCATACTAAATTAAGATATAATTATTTGCCATATCTAATTAAATGTAGTTTATGCTACTTTCCATGATGTGGACAGTTTTGACCGAATCGGGGGAAATTACACATTTTTTACCTCAGATTGGTGATGTTAGTATACAAGTTTATAGTCAACACAAAATCAATTGCTTAAAACAGATCAATATATTTGGTTTTGTAATGTTGATGGGGGGGGGGGGGGGGGGTCGCAGGAAATACAATGCTCTATAAAATACACTGATTTGACAGTCAAACTATCACTTAAATAGAAGCCAACTGTTGTCACTGTTGATATCCTATGGCGGGTCGTGATTCTTTGAAGTTAACAGAAAAAGTGGTTTGTTCCCTTTTCTGTGATGCCAGCCTCCTGAAATCAACATCCACCATTCCAAAATATAGATATACGCAGCCTTCTACAAGTTGTCATCTAACCAACCGTGCATAGGCTACTCCAAGCTTCCGTGTGGCCTTTGAATAGTGTTAGTTTAAAGAGTGCTACACTCCAAACGTTTGCACCCTGTTCTATTTCAGCGTGATATCGATTAACCAAAAAAAGTGCTGCGTTACACTTACCGCGTTGGCGACCCACTTGAATCAAAATGCAACACTTCAAAATGTAGCTACATGTTTTCTACAAATTGTACTCTAACGAGTGATGTACACGTCAGAGGTCGAGTTAACGCAGAATTCTGCGGTTTTAATCGTGCTGCGTTTTGTAGACGCAGATCGAAAATGCTTCTATTGTTATTTTTGCTCGTCTTCAGACTAATTGTATGCTTCAGTTGCACTTCTCCACTCGGGTGAGAAATATTTGTTCTTGTCTTCAGACCAATCAAATTCCACAGGCATTAGATCAGCAGACTGAATGATGGCAGAGAGGAACAGGCGATGGTTAGGCTACTTTTCTCCGGTAATTTTAGCAAGTTAAAATGCAAGATTAACTTCAAGCAAAACAATAGTAAGTGTAGCTGGATACATTCTTACTATGGTAAACATCAATCTGATGGCCATGCATCGTCTTTGCAAAAAATACCTTGCTCTTTCATTGTAAACTCGTTTACTTGTGTGGCTGCTAGCCAAATAGCATTGCACTTCTGCTGTCATCCGATGAAAACGAAGCTATTTTCTGCTGAAAGTTTTGCATTTATTTATTTTGTGTGATGAAAATCTAGTTGCACGTCCCTTATCACTCTATTGACGAAAACAGTGTGGCCTTTCAATATAAACAGCAGGTGAAATGGTTTAAAACGCAGATGTTTTTTATGGTCCGTTTTGAAAATGCAGATTTCTGAAAGCTAATGCGACCCTTGACACATTCCCAGATTATGTGTGGTTTTTGAGCAGTGTTAGTTTTAAACAGGACACGCAACCTCATCTCCCCCCACACGCAATTTATTTCAACGTGATTGACAAAAGTGTTGCGTTTCTCTTTCTGTTTTGGTGACCCCTGTATCAAAATGTAGCTGACTGTGTTCTGCAGGTTGTCCTCTAACCAGTGATGTAAAAATATCTCCAGTTTCAATGTGGTTTTGGAGTTGTGGTAGTTTCAACAGCTCATATCCCCCTAATTGATTAGTGATTTATTGCCACTTGTCAATACAGGGTTTTTGGTGCATGTGTAGTTTATAAGGTGCTTGTAAAGTAAAAATACAAGTAATATGATATTATGTATATTTCGTTTTTTAAATGGTATATACCAAACTGTTTCTGCATAATAGTTATTGATTTCAACTTAGGTATAAGGTATATAAATGGAGCTTTCAACATTAATGTTCAATGGTATTGTACTTAAATCTGGTCAAAAACTGCTGATTGAGTCCAAAATGGGCTGTGATTTACTTATTTTGATGATACCAGAAATCACCAAAACGTGTTTGCCCTGCCTACTCAGATGCTTTATCTGAGATTGATGTGTCTTTCTGTCAGCGAGTGTCTCAGTCAAATAAATTATCAATATTTAAATATTTTATTTGGATGGGCAAGGAAGTACGGTAGGGCGGGCCATGACCCCTAAGGCCCGCCCTGGATAGTTGCTGGCTAGTTAGCATGCTTACTGGTGCTAATTAGCCATGTGAACAAGAAGCAACTAGTTAGTGAAGATAACAATTTGTCAAAACATTACATGGTACTTTCTGACATTGTATTTTGGTGCCAATTTTAGATGTGCAATCCAGAATATGAATTCATAATTTTCTAGTTAGCTAGCTGGCTAGACTGGCAACGAGCTAACGTGGTTGTGCCACAGCGCCAGATACTGGTAATTGACTGGCTGGCTAGCTAGCTACGCTAATGAATAGATAACTGCCTGACTTGGTGGATAATATAAAATGCAGAATAAGTGGCAATGTTGTAGATATTAGTTTTAGGATATGTAAGATCTCCTGAATGTATTAAATCCACAATAGTGTTTCATGCATGTAAGTCTACCTATATAATCAAAGTGAGGCCTTCCTCTCATTGTTGGGTGCATTTTGCGCTTCTGTGCAACAGCAACATTGCACTCACTCATGCCGAAAACAAAGTCAACCACGTACTTCAAAAACGCGGCTATCCGCCAGCATCTAAACTAGAGAATGATTTTACGAGTTTTACCCTCATTTATTAAAAAGATAATTGTTTCTATCGTGCCGTTTACCTTCCAATTGCTATATAAGCGCTTGATTCGGCGGTAGTACGCTTCCTTGTCCAAATTTACCGCCATAGCGAGTCTTCTGCACCTTCAAACTCCAGCTCCTGGCTTCTCAGAGTAGTACAGGCCGGATGAGTGGTTGCTGCTTCACGCACTTTCCACGCCTTGAAACCTCTATCAAAATATATTATTCCTTCCTTCTCGATGTATGGACGATGGTTACGTTCAATTCACCCCAAGATGTGCCTCTATGGCTATGTTGCTCAATTTAAAAAATCGCCAAAAAATGTTTACATTAAACACGCGTTTTGTTAAAAATCGATATTTAAAGTAAAAATGTCAAATTCATAATTTTTCTTGAGATGAATAATTGCATAACATCTAGCTGTTTGTTATCCACACTGGTGCCACGCATAAACGACTCGATTATAATTAATACCCCCCACCTTCTCCGTTTTCTCCTCCTCTCTCCCTCCCCCTTCTTGCAGTCTGTCGAGCACTTTACATGTCAGATAGGTCAATTCCCATACTCAGCCTATATCTGGCAAGCACATTATTTGGATAAAACAATGCGACATGTTTATTATATAATGGTGCACTAGTTTATATGACACACACATGCAATCTTGGTTTGCTCCTGTTTTCCTCTGGCGGGCCTGGATTTCTATCTTTATTCGATGTAAAAAATAATATATCAGTGTATTAAATCGTTTGATGTGGAATTTCTATTTGGGGGATTTGATGCATATTGTTACATTGTTACAGTGTATCATTTTATTGTTTTATATTGCTCGACAGCGCCTCCAGAGGTACATCTGAAAACCCGCCTCCTGTTGGATTGTGGCAGTGACCATGCGCTTTTTCCCCGCGACTGTATATTTTCCCGCCACCTCCAGAATTCGAAATTCCTGAAAACGTCACGCTGGAAATAAATGTATAATTTCAGAAACATTTAAAACCTCTTCTTCTTCTTACCGCTGGAATGGGATGTGCAAGGAAGGCTCTTGCAAAAAGTTATATATCATGGTGATAAAATCATCATCTTTAATAGATTAGTTAATTTGATATTTTGCTACTTTTCCACCAACATTTAAAAAAAGAAAGCTTTTAGGGATATACACCAAAATTCAACACACAAACATATTATGTTGTTCTGATACTTTAAACATTTTATTTTTCCATGAAACATTTTAATGGCCATTAGGAGAACAACCTTTTCATTCATTTGCTTTTTTATTATTTATGTTTGTGCAATGTTTGTTCTACACCCATAATATACTGATGATGACAACTGGTAAGAGATTTGAATTCATAACCCATAATTTCTCTTTCACTAATCCAATGCCAAGCAAATCTATTGATGCACGTGGTGAAACCATATAAATAGAATTACTATTGAACAGAATTACAATTTAATGAAAATTCCCTTTCTAGTAATTATATTTATATCTCTATGGGTAAAAACACTCATATTGCTTATTTACATATCACTGCCATTTTCATAAAGCATCTCAGAGTAGAAGTGCTTATCTAGGAACAGTTTTGTAATTTAGATCAAAATGAATAAGATTACATATGACAGCAGGGGACCTGATCCTAGATCAGCACCCCTACATGGAGACGCTTTATGAATACAGGCCCAGATTTCCCCTTTCCCCTCCAGAAATGAAAGTAAAAGCTGGTTTAGTGTTATTGTGTGCGTTGTTTAAATGATTTTATGTATTTTCTTTCAAATATATTTTCCCTAGTCTTATTTCACCAACATTATGTTTTTTCTAAAACAAACTGTAAGCCTGAATGTTCCTAATATCCATACTAATTAATATTTTTGTCTCATAATCCATACTTTAAAGGAGAGAAGCCTTCCCATTCAACGGGAATCATTTACAGTATGGAACAACCGTTCAGATAGAAATATACAGTGGGGAGAACAAGTATTTGATACACTGCTGATTTTGCAGGTTTTCCTACTTACAAAGCATGTAGAGGTCTGTAATTTTTATCATAGGTACACTTCAACTGTGAGAGACGGAATCTAAATCAAAATCCAGAAAATCACATTGTATGATTTTTAAGTAATTAATTTGCATTTTATTGCATGACATAAGTATTTGATACATCAGAAAAGCAGAACTTAATATTTGGTACTGAAACCTTTGTTTGCAATTACAGAGATCATACGTTTCCTGTAGGTCATGACCAGGTTTGCACACACTGCAGCAGGGATTTTGGCCCACTCCTCCATACAGACCTTCTCCAGATCCTTCAGGTTTCAGGGCTGTCGCTGGGCAATACGGACTTTCAGCTCCCTCCAAAGATTTTCTATTGGGTTCAGGTCTGGAGACTGGCTAGGCCACTCCAGGACCTTGAGATGCTTCTTACGGAGCCACTCCTTAGTTGCCCGTGGCTGTGTGTTTCGGGTCGTTGTCATGCTGGAAGACCCAGCCACGACCCATCTTCAATGCTCTTACTGAGGGAAGGAGGTTGTTGGCCAAGATCTCGCGATACATGGCCCCATCCATCCTCCCCTCAATACGGTGCAGTCGTCCTGTCCCCTTTGCCAAAAAGCATCCCCAAAGAATGATGTTTCCACCTCCATGCTTCACATTTACATTACATTTACGTCATTTAGCAGACGCTCTTATCCAGAGCGACTTACAGTTAGTGCACACATTTTTATTTTTTATACTGGCCCCCCGTGGGAATCGAACCCACAACCCTGGCGTTGCAAACGCCATGCTCTAACAACTGAGCTACCTCCCTGCCGGCCATTCCCTCCCCTACCCTAGACGACGCTGGGCCAATTGTGCGCCGCCCCATTGGTCTCCCGGTTGCGGCCTGCTACGACAGAGCCTGGATTCGAACCAGGATCTCTAGTGGCACAGCTAGCACTGCGATGCAGTGCCTTAGAACACTGCGCCACTCGGGAGACTTCACGGAGACTTCACGGTTGGGATGGTGTTCTTGGAGTTGTACTCATCCTTCTTCTTCCTCCAAACACGGCGAGTGGAGTTTAGACCAAAAAGCTATATTTTTGTCTCATCAGACCACATTACCTTCTCCCATTCCTCCTCTGGATCATCCAGATGGTCATTGACAAACTTCAGACGGGCCTGGACATGCGCTGGCTTGAGCAGGGTCGACCTTGCGTGCGCTGCAGGATTTTAATCCATGACGGCGTAGTGTGTTACTAATGGTTTTCTTTGAGACTGTGGTCCCAGCTCTCTTCAGGTCATTGACCAGGTCTTGCCGTGTAGTTCTGGGCTGATCCCTCACCTTCCTCATGATCATTGATGCCCCATGAGGTGAGATCTTGCATGGAGCCCCAGACCGAGGGTGATTGACCATCATCTTGAACTTCTTCAATTTTCTAATAATTGCGCCAACAGTTGTTGCCTTCTCACCAAGCTGCTTGCCTATTGTCCTGTAGCCCATCCCAGCCTTGTGCAGGTCTACAATTTTATCCCTGATGTCCTTACACAGCTCTCTGGTCTTGGCCATTGTGGAGAGGTTGGAGTCTGTTTGATTGAGTGTGTGGACAGGTGTCTTTTATACAGGTAACGAGTTCAAACAGGTGCAGTTAATACAGGTAATGAGTGGAGAACAGGAGGGCTTCTTAAAGAAAAACGAACAGGTCTGTGAGAGCCGGAATTCTTACTGGTTGGAAGGTGATCAAATACTTATGTCATACAATAAAATGCAAATTAATTACTTAAAAATCATACAATGTGATTTTCTGGATTTTTGTTTTAGATTCCGTCTCTCACAGTTGAAGTGTACCTATGATAAAATTACAGACCTCTACATGCTTTGTAAGTAGGAAAACCTGCAAAATCAGCAGTGTATCAAATACTTGTTCTCCCCACTGTATTATGTAGTACAGACATGCTTTTCTGTCATGTACTAGAGAAAGGAAGCATGTCAGTTCTATACATGGCATTTCTATCTGCAACGTTCAGAATGTTGCACACTCCTGAACGCAGCCCAGAAGTTTATTTTATGTCAAACTCGGTCTCCTGCTCCGGAAACCAACGTCTTAACCATTAGACCGACTCCGAGAGGAAAATCCCAAAAGGGCTGACGGGTGACACTGATTTTAAGTTGCAGGCAGGGCTACCAAATCACAATGCATGATTTACAGTGCATTCGGAAAGTATTCAGACCCCTTGACTTTTTCCACATTTTGTTACGTTACAGCCTTATTCTAAAATTGATTACATTTGTTTTTTTCCTCATCAATCTACACACAATACCCGATAATGACAAAGCAAAAACAAATTAATAAAAAACAAAAAACGGAAATATAACATTTACATAAGTATTCAGACCCTTTCCTCAGTACTTTGTTGAAGCACCTTTGGCAGCGATTACAGCCTTGCGTCTTCTTGGGTATGAGGTGATGTATTGTTGCCTCTACCTTCTTGCCCTTTGTGCTGTTGTCTGTGCCCAATCATGTGTGTACCATGTTGTGCTGCTACCATGTTGTGTTGCTGCCATGCTATGTTGTAGTCTTAGGTCTCTGTTTATGTAGTGTTGTGGTGTCTCTCTTGTCGTGATGTGTGTTTTGTCCATTTTTTATTTTATTTTTTTATCCCAACCCTGTCACCGCAGGAGGCCTTTAGCCTTTTGGTAGACCATCATTGTTAATAAGATTTGTTCTTAATTGACTTGCCTAGTTAAATAAAGGTTACATACACATTTTTTATAAATGACACATTCAGAGACTTGTCCTGAAGCCACTCCTGCGTTGTCTTGGCTGAGTTCTTAGGGTCGTTGTCCTGTTCAATGGTGAACCTTCACCCTCAATCGCTGTACTTTGCTCCGTTCATCTTTCCCTCGATCCTGACTAGTCTCCCAGTCCCTGTCGCTGAAAAACATCCCCAACAGCATGATGCTGCCACCACCATGCTTCACCGTAGGGATGGTGCCAGGTTTCCTCCAGACATGACGCTTGGCATTCAGGCCAAAGAGTTCAATCTTGGTTTCATCAGACCAGAGAATCTTGTTTCTCATGGTCTGAGAGTCCTTTAGGTGCATTTTAGCAAACTCCAAGCGGGCTGTCATGTGCCTTTTACTGAGGAGTGGCTTCTGGCTGGCCACTCTACCATAAAGGCCTGATTGATGGAGTGCTGCAGAGATGGTTGTCCTTCTGGAAGGTTCTCCTGTCTCTAGAGGAACTCTGGAGCTCTGTCAGTGACCATTTGGGTTCTTGGTCACCTCTCTGACCAAGGCCCTTCTCCCCCGATTGCTCAGTTTGGCCGGGCAGACAGCTCTAGGAAGAGTCTTGGTGGTTCCAAACTTCTTCCATTTAAGAATGATGGAGGCCACTGTGTTCTTGGGACCTTCAATGCTGCAGACAGTTTTTGGTACCCTTCCCCAGATCTGTGCCTCGACACAATCCTATCTCAGAGCTCTACAGACAATTCCTTAGACCTCATGGCTTGGTTTTTGCTCTGACATGCACTGTCAACTGTATGACCTTATATTGACAGGTGTGTGCCTTTCTAAATCATGTCCAATCAGTTGAATTTACCACAGGTGGACTCCAATCAAGTTGGAGCTCAATTTCGAGTCTCATAGCAAAGGGTCTGAATACTTATGCAAACATTTCTAAAAACCTGTTTTTGCTTTGTCATTTTGGGCAGATTGATGAGGAATTTTATTTATTTAATCAATTTTAAAATAAGGCTGTAACGTAAACAAAATGTGGAAAAAGTCAAAGGGTCTGAATACTTTCTGAATGCACTGTACATACCTTCAAATCACTTGGACAAGACAACATTGATACCATGGTCAGGAGAAAAACTGTCATTAGCCGTAGAGTTGGATAGATTAACACAAAGTCTATTTTTGCATGGATAGCACCATTTGCAAATATGTGCCCTTTGTCCAACTCTATGGCTCTAGCTATGAAATGCAAGAGACATACCAGTGGTACCTGTAGCATTACATTACATTTCCCCAACATTTTAAAATGATTAAAAACATTTAATATAAAATTATCTTATTATTTAAATTATTTACATAATTTATCATCACAGGAGTTTTGGTCTTCTGCTTGATTATTCTATAAGGACAAAGTCTGGTTGTGGAAAAAAGCCAAGTCCCTTTCTTCTCTTCTCCATTCTTCACTCCACTCTAATTTCTCATTAGTCCTGCCTAATCCCTATCATGTTCATATATCACTCTTCTCTCCTCTTTGAAGTCTTTGTCCAGCTATCACTCCTCTCTTCTGTCCATTCCTTACGTGACAGTGGAGTTCTGCCCTCTGATCGCACACCAGGCCATGAATACATCCCTATAGAGACAATCAATAGAAAAAAAATCAATCAACTAATCAATAATACAAAAATAAAATCACAATTGGAGCAGAAATGTTGCTTTAGCGACATTTTCCTTTCCTGGCTACCCAAACTCCTTGCTCCGGCCAAACGCTACGCCACACCCACGAACATTAGTTTCTTCTCCACAATGAGTCTGGATCTGAGTACTTCCCCGACGATTTCTAGAATGGAAATCCATTCTAGACCGTCTGATTGGTCCCAGAAACCGATGGTTTGGGCCATAGCCAGAACGCCCTTGGGTGTAGCAGCGTTTTGAAAATTAGTAATTGGCTTTGATACTCTGATTGGTTAGAGATTATAAAATCGCTGATGACTTTGTTTTGTAGAACACCCCTCATTTTGACGTCACCACAAACAACTTCAATGATGGCAGACTCAGACCTGAAGTATGTAGCGAACGATAGAGCAGCAGAAGAAATCCGTTTGAGTCGTCAGGCAAACATTTTCCATTGTTTGGGAAGAACATGATCTATCTTGACTCCTAAGTGTTTCATGTGGTAATGTCAGTGTGTATGTGTGTCTGTATGGCTGCATTTAGACAGGCAGCCCAATTCTGATATTTTTTCCATTAATTGGTATTTTGACCAATCATCAAATCTTTTCACATCAGATTTTTTTCAGCACTGATCTGATTGATCAAAAGACCAATTAGTGAAAAAAAGCTCAATTGGGCTGCCTAAACACAGCCTGTGTGTCCAACCATCTATCCGTCCATACCTGCAGTGTGTGGCCACACACTCGTTGCTGCAGTACTCCCTGTCCCAGTCCTTGTTCTCTACAGCTGGGTTGGTGCAGCCGACTCGGACACACAGGTTAGGACTGCAGGTCTGGGTCACATCTGGCCCTGGAGACACATTCAACTCCACCTGCATCTGGGAAGGGAGGGAGGGAGAGAGGTAGGGGAGAGAGAAAGACTGAGTGGTTGACATACAGTAGTGTGAAGGATACCAATCATTAGATGACCACGGCCCTGAGTTTCCCGAGAAACATAGGGAAAACTCCTGGCCCTCAATTATGAACACATGCTAAAGTTTTTCTATTCTATACTTCTCTTACCCCTTCCTCTCCTTCTGCCCTGTCCTCGGCCTCTGTCGAACAGGCAGTTACTATGGCAGTGGACTGTACCACCTCCCCCGAGGTCGGAGTGGCCCCACCCAACGCGGCTAACCCCCCTGCCACCGTCACGATATCGGGAGAGTCCAAATCTGAGGCGGGAGGGACGATCTTGATCTGCAGAGGGGGTGGTGCCATGGCACCCCCGCCTCTTGGTTTGGCCTGCAGTGGCGGTGGGGCCTGGGCATGTCCCATCTGCTGGAGGCGGGGCGGAGGAGGGGTGTTCTGCATCTGTTGGAGTGGTGGCGGCTGCCGAGCCGACAATACCGTACTACCTGACACCACCATTACCCCTGATGGCGACGTCTGTTGCTTGATGATGATTTTAGTGACGGTGGGGGGGCTTGGGGCCAGGGCAGGCATAGGAGCGGGGGGTTTGTGCGCCCCTGTACGGGAGCGGGTGGTGACCTGAGGGAGGTCAACACCTGCTAGGATGATGTTGGAGGTGCAGATGTTGGTGATGGTGTTCTCTTCAGGGGCCAGGTGGGGGGCGGAGGAACGGGTGGAACGGGGATCAGGGTTGGGGAGTGGGGCGACAGGAGGAGGAGAGGGAGGCGACGGGGCAGTGTCCAGAACCTCGATGGTCGGCTGGGAGAGAGAAGAGGAGGAGAAAGGTAGAGAGTTTGCAAGAGAGAGGAGAGAGAAAAGAGGAGATTTAGTTTACACATTGACAAAGGTTGGCCATCATAATAAACCTACTCACACACATAACTGAATAGTGTTCTCAAGTAATACTCGTCTTGTCTCACCTGAGAAAGCTGATTATCTCTGTAGGCTGCCAGAGCCTTGAGATACTCCTTCTTAGCTGCTTCAGTCTTCCTCTTGTACACCTGAGAGGAATACACATACAGGTATATCATGAGAGAAGGTATGAACCCGATACCATTAAATTATTGATATCTACATGTGTGCTTGTGCAGTGAGTGTGCTTACACGTTCTTGTGTAGTGAATGTGATTGTGAACATGTGCGTTTGCACATGTGAAAGTGTGTGTGTACCTGTTTCTGCTCCTCCCCCAGGCTATCCCACATGGAGGCGACTATCTTGGACACCTCTCCGAAGGTGGCTTTGGGGTTCTGGCCCTTAATGGCTGCCTGTGTGTCCCTGAAGAACAGAGCATAGGCCGACACTGGCTTCTCCTTAGGCTCTTTCTTCTTCTTTCCTTTCTTCCCTCCTCCGGCCGCTCCCCCTCTTCGTACGAGGGTAGGAGGGGTGCTGGAGGATGGAGCGAAGGAAGGAATGGGGGAGTCGGAGACAGGGGGCTTGAGGGAGATGACGCAGAGAGAGATAGGGGACTCCACCAACACACTCTGCTGAGTTAGAATGGAAGAGACAGAGGGGTAGGATGGGAGAGAGAGGGAGGGAGGGAGGGATAGCTAAAACAAGGACATCAGTTTCATATAAAGTGAAGTTTGTATACAAATTTGTGTGTGACTGTAATCAATGAGGAGACTGAGGCAGACAGACAAACCAATAGACAGACAGACTAACCAATAGACAGACAGACTGACTAATAGACAGACCGACCGATAGGACTGACCCGTCTGAAGTCGTCCATGTCGTCGTCCTGTAGCGAGCCGGCGGGCGAAGCAGCGGCCGACAGCGGTTGGTCAGGTGACTGCGACCTCGCCAGGATGGCCCCGCCCCCTAGACTGAGCCCCAGCTGGGTGCTGAGCTCCGATTGGTCGATGGTGGTCAGCTGGTTGTGGCCCAACAGGCCATGGCCCATGTCACTCAGCGGGACGTCTATGGTCATGGGGGAGGAGCTGCTGAACTGGGAGCCAATGGGGTGGCCCAGATCCTGGAAAAAGCCAAAGATGTGTATTACAGGCAGAACCGGCCCGCCCATTAGGCAGGACTATGCAGTCGCCTACAGTGGCAGATTGACGAGGGTGGCATTTTCCCAGCTAAACTGACCAAGACGCACCTCCAACAACAGCACTTATAATGTGAAGAAATAGCCTAATAGTTTATCAACATTTTAAGCTAAACATTCTGATCTGTTGCGTCAGCCACATTGCTTAAAAAATGTTTTTTTGATGCTAGTGGTTGTATTAATTTGGGATCTATTGCACCCCACAACTGTCCCAGACTATGTTTGGAATATTTATTTATTGCACAGAATAGAATAGGTCGACCTTTGTACTATGGGGGATAGTAGACTGACATAGGCTAGTGCTTTTGCTGTTCGTTAGGCCTACTCATCTTGTTGGCTGACGGAAAGTAAATGTGGAAAGTTCTTCCATACATCTTCAATATGCACCTCAGAATTGGATAAGGACATGCGCAGTTGCGTCCCGATGTGTCTGTCTTCACTTGTAGCCTATGAGAAAGACCCAATCACGTGACGGTGAGCCATGTGAGTGAGAGGCGCTTCGGATTGCGCAGCACTCAGGGATTGTGCAGCACACTCAGGGAGAAGGGCACAACGCTGCACTCCGGGCCGCAAAAGGCATCAATTATTTTAGGGTGCATTACGGCCACAAAGGGGATGCCGCCGTGAAATTCGAGGCATTATCAAGTGCTTGTCAAATTGTGAATGAGAGACTATTGAAGCAGAGCTGAAGCCTTTCAAATCATCATTAGAGTCTCATCATGCAGCCTTACAATGTATTACAAATCTAAACATATAGTCCAACGTTTGTAGTACAACTAAAGTTACATTAATATCTCTAAATTAAGCATATAGGAATACCTATTTCTTTGTTAACCGCTCAACACAGAATAGCCGCATGTGCGCACTGCCTCAAATCGTTTGGAGAAAATATCCTTTCTATTTGATTCAGCTTTGTTCAATTGTATTCTTCATACTATAAAATAGTATAAAATAATGCCATGTAATTCTAAGCAAATCTTGTCTGCTAAATGAACTAGTGTAGCCCACAGCCATTTGGCATCGCCACAGCAGGACCTAACATAAGGACAACTCAGAGTATGCTATTATTTTCTTCTGAAATAGACTACATTTTCTTCATATCATGCTTCTTTAGACCTGTCTAAAAGAAATAATGGATTTATTGTGAAGGTGGAGGCTATATTACATTGATTTATTATACTTGTAAAATGTAGATGTTCCAAAGGTCAGCATCAGTGGCTTGTAGGCTATGTGTGGAAGCCAGGAGATGCTAAATGTGTTTATGTTAATTAACGGTCAATTACCGTGAGACCAACAGTTATTTGCTTGACAATCACTGGCTGACTAAATTTCATGACCGCCACAGCCCTACTCCCACCAACCTCCACTGCACCCCTGTAAGCATGGACCGATGCGGACGTCTTTTGGACGTATTTTTTTGGTCCTGTCCGGACGTCTTTTTGTTGTATTGATTTGGTGCAGTCTGGACTTGATTTCAACATCCATGGACCGGATCAAATCTGAACCAATCATAGAAGTCTTTGTTTAGTTCAAATTTGGTCTGGTCTGGACCGGCCTTGATTTGGCCCAAACATAGACGTCTATGTTTCACAAGTTTGGACAGTACAGCACAGTAGAGAAGAGTACATTACAGTACAGTAAAGAAAATTAAGAGTATAGTTCAGTAGATTACAACAGTACAGCACAGTAGAGTACAGTTCAGCATCGTGTACTGTACTGTACACTACTTTACTCTAATGTACTCTACTCAAGACATCTTTTCAACTTTCATCGCCTAGGGCGGCAGAGCGGCCAGGACCGGGCCTGATTACAGGCAGCAACCATCTTGTTATCAAAGAATGGACTGTGGTGTGAAAAGGGCCCAATTCATATCATTTCAAATTTCAGTCAATAACTAATTGTGTCGGAAATGGCACCCTAATAGGCTATTACCTACATAGTGCACTACTTTTGACCAGATCCATATGCGGGCCCTTGTCAAAAATAGTGCACTATCTAGAGAATAGGGTGCCATTTCAAATGCATCCTCAACCCTTGCAGTCCTCACCATGCCCAGAGCAGACCCCAGAATAGCTCCTCCTCCACCAGGCTGACTGATGACCCCCAGACTCAAGTGGTGGTCCAGCCCCTGAGACCCCGGGTGGGGATTCACAACGGTGGAGGCGAAGGACGGGTCGTCTCCCCCGACCACAACGTTCCCGGCGGTGGACAAGCCACCGCGCTCTCCATCCGACAGCTCTCTGAAGTGGGCCACCACATCGGACACGGTGAGCGCCTGGACTGGATCCAGGGAGATGGGGGGGATCTCAAACTCCTCATCTCCCAGACTGGGGGTGTGGAACGTCTATTGGGGGAGGGAGAGAAGAGCGAGAGGGAGAAGAGATGATGGGGGAGAGGAGAGGGGGTATGGAGAAAAGAGGAAGGGGAGAATGGAGGAGAGAAGAGAGACAAGAGGGGAAAGAGGGTGGGAAGAGAAAAGGTTATTATTATTATTATAGTTTGAGACTTCCTCACCTGCTATATTGGATGTGAGTGGTGTGTGAGTAACTGCAGATTGTGTGTTGTAAAGAGAGTGAGACAGGATAGGGGAGAGAAAAAGAGAGTGAATGAGAGTTTAGAAGAGAGAGAAGTGAAAGGAAGGAATGAGTAGCTACCTCAGAGGACGAGAGGAACGGATGGCCCGCCCCGCTGATGGTCAGGTAGTTGTCACTGCCTCCAGGGAACTGAAACACACACACGGGTCAAATCATCATCACATAGGAGAATAAGTCTCATCATCATCATCATCATCATAACAGTCAGCATCCCTTTAAAACATCTGTGGCATCATACATAGGGATGACAGTACCTCATCAGACCATAATAACCAACACCTAGATATAATGGTCACACAAACTTTACCATTCATCAAAACAGTGAAAAGGACAATCCCAATAACAGCTGAGCTCACATCACGTCCCCATACACATGTACCTGATATACTACATATTCAACCAAGCCCTTATATGCTGTTATAAGATAGTTATTGTACAGGATTCTGAGTGCATGTGAGAGAGTCAGTGAGTTATACATAGAGCACAACACACAGACAGACACACAGGTCTCTTGTCAAATCAATCTCACTGTCGGTCACCTTATTGTCAAATCCATTGAAAGACCCAGGGTCCAGGAATTCTCGATCTCCGTGTTGCCCAGTCCCATCCGTTAGATCGGAATAAAAATGCAGGTCCATTATCTAACGGTGCCTCATATGACATTAAATCAATGCAATTGGTTGATATGCGGAATAAATCTATAATCTACAACGTCTCTACCACTGACTTTGTTTTAGTACCACAACATTTACAACCAAAGAAGAAATCAAGACTCGGAACTACACACAACGATTTCAGATTTCAATTTGATTGTATGAAACGAAGCAGTTGTTAGCGACGCTTATATGGCCAAATAATTATTATAGTGCACGCCAGCGCTCACTCACTCGTACAAAAAAGAACCCGTCTCTTTACTAGTTAGCGTGGCAAATATTATAAATTATATGGAGTCCCTCAAATAACCATATTTTGACGCATTTCAGAATTGTGCTAGTCCAGTTCTTTCTCACAGCTGCTCTGCTCTGTGCTCGAACAAGGGTGCTCAATGGAACCAGAACTGTGGATTTGGATTGGAATCAATCACCATGGGGCGGGTTCCAGTGTGGGGAATAGGGGTGTCTGGGATTTCGGACTTTTGCTTTCAGTTGTTTTAGTTCAAAGCGAATCGTCATCATGTAACAATCAACGTTCTCCTCTAGATACTCATATGGCTGGCTCAAGTCAGTATACAACAAATATATTATTGAAATGAGCTAACAACTTGATCTGATATCGCAGACTTCTCTCCCTCCTAGGCACCCACTCTTCTCAAATTGTTCATCCCAATGGCCTAGTAAACCAAATGAAATTATTTTAACCATTTATTCTCTGGACAGACAGAATATTGTAAATGTTACACACCACTAACTCGCTTTCAAATATTTGATAAAGCCAATTGTCGCAGTTTCATTTGAACAGTCAGAATAGGGAACGAAAAGGATCATGATGACAGCCCTTTTCTTGTGTTGACATCTTACTGGTCTTGCTAGCAAGCGTTCTAAGCTTTTGAAACAAGGACACGTGAAGTTGGCTAACTAGTTCATCTAAGGCTTCAGGGACTTCTAAAGAATAAGAAGCTAGCTACAGCTCTAGTGACAAACTAGGCAACCGTTAGGTCTGAAATTATGTCGGGCTGTGCGTGAGTGTTCATTGTGTTGGAAAACCAAAGATTGTGGACACTTGTGCGATCGAACCTGTACACGGTTGGATATTACATTTACATTTTAGTCATTTAGCAGACGCTCTTATCCAGAGCGACTTACAGTTAGGTGAGTGCATACATTTTCATACTGGCCCCCGTGGGAATCGAACCCACAACCCTGACGTTGCAAGCGCCATGCTCTTCCAACTGAGCTACTGGAGGCCTACCACACACGAGTGATTACCCACTGTGAAACTTTCTACGCTTCTTACCTCCATTATTACCCCGAAAACTGCTCTGTCCCACTTTTCTGAACTTCGCCCGTGATAATTTTTCCTCAAAAAACCACATTGCACCGGCTTCCGCGATTGTCATCACAAGGAAGTTACATCATTTCCACAGAGCGACGTAAACAAGTTGACCTTGCGCGAGCTCGAGTTTCAAATATGCAAATGAGTTAGCTAAGGAAAATAGCTATCTATTTTTTGTGAACTAGTTCATTTGAATTACATTTTAGTCATTTAGCAGACGCTCTTATCCAGAGCGACTTACAGTTAGTGAGTGCATACATTTTTCATACTGGCCACCCGTGGGTAATGAACCCACAATCCTGGCGTTGCAAGCGCCATGCTCTACCAACTGAGCCACAGTTGAATGTCCTTGAATAAATATAATTCTAAATTTCTACTGTTTCCTTTGCTATACCATTATCATGTCAGATTACACAGAAAACGATAAATCATCGCAAATTAAAAAATTGGTTTTATTCACATTTTCTCAAGCATTTTTCCCCCCATCCTTTAAAAAAAATATATATACTGGTGTAATAAAAAAAATTATAACACTTTGAATGTCTTTGTTAACAAGCAAAATATTGGTGGAGGAAAAAAAATAGAACACTAGAATCCATCCCTGCACAATAAAGTCAATACATTGAGAAGATCAAACACAAGCATTTAGCAGAATTAAAATACTTCCAGGACTGTGTTCCAAATGGCACCCTATTCTTTTTATTAGCAAACTACTTTTGACCAGGGCCCACTTTCAACTCTCACCTATTTTCTTGAGTTTACAAGCATTGCAGGAGGCAGGTGACATGGACACAGACAGAGACACACACACACACAAGCAGGAGACATCAACGTGATGGATGCCTAGTAGTCTCATATCAGGAATGGTAGAAATGGCACCCCATTACTTACAGTGCATTCGGAAAGTGTTCAGACACCTTGACTTTTTCCACTGTTACATTACAGCCTTATTCTAAAATGGATTAAATATTTTTTTCCCCGCTCATCAAACTTCACACAATACCCCATAATGACAAAGCAAAAACTTTGTTGAAGCACCTTTGGCAGCGATTATAGCCTCGAGTCTTCTTGGGTATGATGCTACAAGCTTGGCACACCTGTATTTGGGGAGTTTCTCCCATTCTTCTCTGCAGATCCTCTCAAGCTCTGTCAGGTTGGATGGGGAGCGTCGCTGCACAGCTATTTTCAGGTCTCTCCAGAGATGTTACATTGTGTTCAAGTCCGGAGTTTGGCTGGGCCACTCAAGGACTTGTCCCGAAGCCACTCCTACATTGTCTTGGCTGTGCGCTTCCTGTTGGACCGTTGCCCCAGTCTGATTTCCTGAGCAGGTTTTCATCAAGGATCTCTCTGTATTTGCTCTGTTCATCTTTCCCTTGATCCTGACTAGTCTCCCAGTCCCTGCCGCTGAAAAACATCCCCACAGCATTTTGCTGCCACCCCCATGCTTCACCGTAGGGATGGTGCCAGGTTCCCTCCAGACATGACGCTTGGCATTCAGGCCAAAGAGTTCAATCTTGTTTCTCATGGTCTGAGAGTCATTTAGTTGCCTTTTGGAAAACTCCAAGCGGGCTCTCATGTGCATTTTATTGAAGACTGGCTTCCGTCTGGCCACTCTACCATAAAGGTCTAAATTGGTGGAGTACTGGAGAGATGGTTGTCCTTCTCCACAGAGGAACTCTGGAGCTCTGTCAGAGTCAGAGTGACCATCGGGTTCTTGGTCACCTCCCTGACCAAGGCCCTTCTCCCCCGATTGCTCAGTTTGGCTGGCCGGCCAGCTCTAGGAAGAGTCTTGGTGGTTCCAAACTTCTTCCATTTAAGATTGATGGAGGCCACTGTGTTCTTGGGGACTTTCAATGCTGCAGAAATTGTTTGGTACCCTTCCCCAGATCTGTACCTCGACACAATCCTGTCTCAGAGCTCTGCGTACAATTCCTTCAACCTCATGGCTTGGTTTTTGCTCTGACATGCAGTAAACTGTGGAACCTTATATAGACAGGTGTGTGCCTTTCCAAATCATGTCCAATCAATTGAATTCACCACAGGTGGACTCCAATCAAGATGTAGAAACATCTCAAGGATGATCAATGGAAACAGAATGCAGTATGTCTCATAGCAAAGGGTCTGAATACTTATGTAAATACATTTATTTTTATGACATTTCAAAAAAAAATAACTGTTTTTGCTTTGTCATTATGGGGTATTGTGTGTAGGTTGACGAGGGGAAAAAACAATTTAATCAATTTTAGAATAAGGCTGTAATGTAACAAAATGTGGAAAAAGACAAGGGGTCTGAATACTTTCTGAATGCACTGTATATACTAGCCAGCAGATCCAACGCGATTGCTTACAGCTGCACTAGGGTTAGACAGGCTTTCTGTGTAAATTAAAAGCCAATTTACGCTTGATCCGAAAATGTGGTCAGTTGCGCAGTATGGAGGGTGTAACGCAATTGCTGAGCCTCCAGAGGCATGCCGAGGCCAAATTGATCTCCGTACCGCATCGCCTCCCACATTCTGTAACAATGTAGAGGTATCTGTATAGCTCCGCATTAACACGATTGGTTGGCTATAGGTGGGGGCGGGAGGTCCTGTATAAACACCAACTCAGTTACTTTACAACAGCTCTCCGAAGCGCAAGAAGTATGAATGCCCTGACTTCTGCAGAGGCCGTATTACCGTAAATGCTGCACGGCCAATGGTGACGTCAGATTGACCATGCAGCGCCTTTAAGACACCCCGGAGCCGCCGTTAAATATTTAATAATAGCAGTCATTCAATCTTCTCAGTGTAATAGTTGGGCTAATGGGACAATTCAGATTACAATGCATTTCTCATCCTAGGATTGAGGTAGGTTTTCCGAGACTCGCACCGGCTCTGAGGTGTCTTAATCTACACAGGAAGCCTGTCCGACCCTAGTGCAGCTGTAAGCAAGAGGATCGGATCTGCAGGCGATATATACACACACGCAATCAAAACTTAATTAGTTAACAATAAAAAGTTGATTGAAAAATATTGTAAAAAAAACACCCAAAACTATTAAAATATGTACATTATTTACAAAGCTCTGTCTAGGCAATCTCACAGCGCCATGACACCGCTCTGTCCTGTGTTTTTCCAACTACATTTCGGTACAAGTACAACAGTAGTTTTCACATTTAATTTATTCTCCGTCTCCAAAACAAATACTTTTAGAAAAATATTGACACTAGTACACACGTCAAATTAACAGTTGATTTTGACAGCTTTGAAACCACATTCATATGGATTAGTAGAATAACATACAGCACTTTATATCCAAAATGATAACAATGTGTTGTATACACACAGAATTATATATATGTATTTTTTAATTTAGTAAAAGACAAATAGCCTATTTAGGAGCCGGCCTGAGATTTTCATAAGCAGATTTCTGAGGCTAGCCCCAAGGCATACATCCTCTGGGCCCATACGTCTCAAACAATGGAGGAGCGAGCCTCTTAAATCAATTGATTATAAATCAAAGCCTGATTCTCACTATAGGGCCATGATGAGCTGTACTGTCACTGTAACCGTGCTGGAAAGGACAATGTACAAAGAAAATATCCAAGCCTACGGCCCTGTAGTGTGAATCAGGCACAATAGTTCTCATTCATGCTTCAATCACAGAACTGGTCTGGGCTGCTGGGTGAGGAGGAGGCCGAAGCGTTTCTTCAGGGTTACCCGGTGCCGGGAGAACTTGTCGTCAGGCGAAAAGCGGGCGGGATGGGCAGAGCTGGTGGGCTGGCCCAATAGATCCACCTTCTGTTGGGTCACGGAGTGACAAGAGGAGAGAGGTATGAGAAGAAAAGAGATCGCATGAACAAGTAGGAGTATAGCTTGTTACATTATAACGTTACAGGGTTGAACTGGCCCATTTTCTACACTCAAGCTGTAGGGTCAGAAAAATGTTATATGTAATGTTTGGAAACGTGGACCAACTCTCTGAGAAGGTTATGAATTGCATCATCAGTTGATGTTTAGAGATGCTATCTAAGCAGGACCTAAGAACACAGTTACCATCAGGAACTAGCTACAATAAGAATAACACCATATACAAGTAATAATTAGATGGGTGCTTATATTTGTCCTATTTCACACATGTACAAGTGTGTATTAATGTATACGCATGTGTTTTTTGCATACCCCAACTCCGAGACACCCTCTGAGAGTGGGGCCACAGCTGAACTAGTACCTGGGCTTGAGGAG